TGATTGGGTTGGTAATTCCCCCTAAGTCACAGGTTAAACCTTACCAAATCCACTTTACTCATACCTAACTTTCACTCTCCAGATCTTTTGCATCAGAGATAAGCTGAGAGTTTCATCAGATGATTATATAATTACCTACCACACACAGCATTACAAACTTGTCTGATCCTAATGCATAAGGAGATCCACAGTTAGAAGTACTTAAACATGCCCAATATTTAAAGGTTTCTCTCGAAGAGTTAATGTAAGATAAATCTGAAACATTTTTTCAGTTATGTGACAAAGATATTAAAAAGTTTTCCCTCAATTAATAATAACACAAACCTTAAAGGAATAATAATAATAATATATGTAATTTATGAAACTAGGAAGGCAGAAGTAGCTATCACAGGTTAGATAATGTGCTGTGTACATACTTTGTTAATACTGAATGTTGATGATGATTAGAATTAATTGCCAAGAAAACACAGAAAGCTTAAATACACCAATAACTTGGGAAAAAAACCAACCAACAAACAAAAATGTTAAAAGATCCACCACCAAAAAGGTGGGGATGAGTGGGTAGGATTCTCTGATTTTATGACTTAAGTTCTAACCTACTTTTTTGCAGAGATAATTCCTATGCCAACCACATTGCATTATAAAAAGACAAGCTTCCAAATTCATTTATTAAACAAACATAACCATAATGGCAAATCTGAAAAAGACAACCCAAAGGTAAAAAGAGACCAAATTCATTAATATGCAATGTAGAAAGTCCAAATAAAATGCTATTGAACTAAATTTAAATTGTGTATACTTGAATTCATAAAATAAAAGTGTAGTAAAGAAAGTGTTCAATGAAGAAAATTTATATAATGTTGGATGAGAATAGACCATTTAATATGGCAATTAAATTCCAAAATCCATAACGAGGAGAAAGATTTGAAAACATAAAACTTTTAAACTTCTTTATAGAAAGTTATAGTAAACTAATTCAAATAGAAGTGGCAGACTGGGGTAAAACACAGGATGGGTGTTCACAAAGAAGATGATATATAATCAATGAGAGTACATCTGTACAGCATGGAATACTGCAAGTAATAAAGATAATGCAGTAAACATGCTATCTTAATTTAAGAGCTCATAATATAGTTGAGTGATATAAATTATAAAATAATATGAAGAGTAAAATCTACATTAAAAATGAGATCAAGGATATTTTTCTATACATAAATAAAGAGTACATTTATGTTGTTAAAAACAAATGGAAAAGGCAAGAAAGGATGCACTGTGCCTAGCGTGGTAATAACAGGGCAGTTACAAACACTGCCATTTAATTTCATTTTAGTCAGGTACATCTTGGTGAATGACTGAACTTCACATATTGTTTTTTTGCATGACAAGTTTTTTTTTTTTTTAAATGATATCAGCTAGAACTTTCTAAATGCTAATTATTTACTTTTATTAAAAAAACATTAAATAATTATATAAATTAACCACAGAAAGTATTTACATAAATTACACACAAATGCATTCTTCAATTACAGAAGGGTAAAAATGTTCAGAGATGTTATAAACATACATAATACTAAATAAAGATTAAGTTATTAATAACTTAACTAAGATTATAGTTATTAAGTTAAGCCATGCAGGAGATCAAAATGTTCCAACTCAGATATATTTCTTTAGCCTATTTCAAGACAGCTATTCAGAGGGGCTGCTGACACAGGAATAGCTCAGAAGACTTGTCCTGTTGTGGAAGAGATCTGCATCTGCAGCAAAAGCAAAGAGCTTATGCAAACAGGCTCTCGCTGAACCCCACTATCTGCCTGAGAAAGACGGTTTCACTGGAGGAAGATACTGGAATATGACCTCTAGCCCAGGCAGATTACTCCAGGCAGTCTTACTGAAAAATTTTATTTGCACAATAGGACAACCCTGGTTCACCTTGCTCCTTTCCTCAATCTCCCACAGCTTGTACCTCACAAAGCTGCCACCTCCCCCTCTGTTTTGGGGGTTCAAAATGCTACTTATGTTTCAACCTTCTGACCCTTCCTTTGAGACTTATGCTTCATGTATGACTCACTTCTTCCTATACCTTAATATATTTGCATGCTCTTTTCCCCCTGTTAATCCATTTCCAGCTTATTTCATGTTAAAATTATTAAAACATACAAAAGAGAAAACTGAAAAATTTCCCTATATATGTATAAAATAGCTAACTTTGTAGGTTGGATATGGTATTGAAAATTTTTAACAACTGAATTAAAAAACAAAAAAGTCCTATCAGAAAACCTTTAACACATACTTGTTTCCACCTCCATCTGTACCTGGACTAAAACAATGGCATAAAAAGTAAAGCTAGTAATAATAGCAATAATAGTGATATTATAAGGTTAAATTTTAATAATTTAATATCAGATTTAATAATTTAATTTAAATAATTATATTGCAAGGCTAAATTTTGAGCCTTTATTTTTCTATTTATTTATTTTTATTTTATATGACAGCGGAATGCATTATAATTCTTATTACACATATAGAGCACAATTTTTCATATTTCTGGTTGTATACAGAGTATATTCACACCAATTCATGTCTTCATACACTTGCTTTTGATAATAATGATCATCATATTCCACCATCATTAATTACCCCATGCCCCCTCCCTTCCCCTCCAACCCCTCTGCCCTATCTAGAGTTCCCTCTATTTCCTCCCATACTCCTCTTCCTATCCCACTATGAATCAGCCTCCTTATGAGCCTTTAGTATCAACCAAATACTACTTTAATTTATAAACTTGTTTAAAATTCATAATGATCAAATAGAATAGAGTTATTATTATTATCTCCATTTAACACCTATGGAAATAGATATAGAAAGGTTGAATAATTTGCCCAGGATCAAAGCAGTGGGACAAGCCTTTGATCCAAGGCAATTTGATTCCTAATATCAAGCTTTACGCTATTTCCTTTCTAATGTATGTTCTAGATATTCTTATAAGTGACTTTTCAAAGACTGAAAGTAGGTTAAATGTCACTGTGGTAAGGAGAATCCTTAGTGAGTCAATCAGATACTGGATTAATTAATTATCTGACAAAGGACAATGGCTCCACATGCTAAAGCCATGACTGAAACTTCAGACTCTGCTCAAACCTTTGCAAATGACTTGAAAATTCTTACCTCAGAATGACTGAAGCTTATTAACCATGGTATTTAATTTGGAGTAAATGCTAAAAATTGCAAAAGACCTAACCGTTTCTTAAAGAAAACTCCTCTGATGAGTCCTTAATCTCACACACTTGCTTCTTATTTTCTTTATAGCTCATTTTTCTTACTGTACCACCAAAATCAGAAACTAAGCAAACCCAGAGAAAAGTATAACATATACAAAACACAAAGGAAAAGATGTCAAGTGAATCCTCAGGGTAATACTGAAAAGGAGGTCTCAGTGATGAAGTATGTACCAGGACTTCAAGAAAACCAGTGCAGGGGGCTGGGGATGTGGCTCAAGCGGTAGCACGCTCGCCTGGCATGCGTGCGGCCTGGGTTTGATCCTCAGCACCACATACAAACAAAGATGTTGTGTCTGCCGAAAACTAAAAAATAAATATTAAAAAAAATTCTCTCTCTTAAAAAAAAAAAAAAGAAAGAAAAGAAAAAGAAAACCAGTGCAGGCGGGAGGCATGTCATAAAGCACCAGAAAAAGTTTCTCCAAGAAGATGAAACTGATAACAGGCAGAGTGAAGAGATGAATCAGTGGTAGACACAGAAAACTAAGCAACCCAAAATAGAAACAACTCACTCTAAGAAAAATGAAAGCTAAGGAAAAAAGATTAAAAGGAAAGTAATAATGTTTATGACTGCTCAATTCTGTGTAGCACATATACTAAAAAAATAAATGTTCAATCAATGCTCTCTCCCTCCTGCCTGTCTTCCTCAACCATTCTCATGTGATCTCAATAAGGTGATCAACTTCTCCTGGGATCAGTTTGCCTAAAACTTTTGAAATTTAGCACTTCAAGTCCTCTACTCCAGAAAACCCTTAAGTCCTAGGCCTATCAGGAGTTGGGCACCCTAATCCTAACAAATAAAAAAGTGCTTGTTGCTACAGAGCTACTATGTATATGGCTTCTATATGGTATGCTGAAAAAAAACAGTGTGAGGGAAAAAAACTTATTAAAGACCAGACTAAATGATGGCAGAGTACTAAATATTAAAGGAAAGTTTTAGATTCATAATTTCCAAAAAAAAAAAAATAGTTTACTATAGTGACTTACACTTCAACAAAAAATGTTTCTTAAAAAGCATTAAAAAGGAAGAAGTAAAAACTTGGAAAACTTTTGGTAAATTAAATAAAAAGAAAAAACATACATGGTGTTTTCATCTTCAAAAATGTAAAAGAAAATAACACTGGAAGCAAAACATCATAAAACTCCAATTTAAGAGTGAGAAATGTGGTCATGAAAGAAGGCGTTAGGTAGTCTCATGTGTTCTGAACTCACTAAATATTATTAATTACAGAGAAAAATTAAAAAAAAAAAACAAGAAACACAAAAGGAAACTAAATTAACAGATCATGTTAGAAAAAATTCAATGAAGAAAGCAATTAATACCAAAAGATAATAGAATTAAAGAAAAAATGTAATGTTGACAAATAGTATGAACAATCAAGAGAAAATAAACTACTGTCAGAAGCAATCACTCAGTTCTGATTATTGCTCATCAATACCCTTATTCCAATCAAATATAAATACAATTCAAATTTTTGTGGCAATGAATCAGAGACATAGTATAAGGATAACCCAGGTAAAATGCTTTGATTTTCTTGAATTATCTGGATTAAAAGCAAAAGAATCTTGGATGCATGCATATACAAAGAAACCCCCAGAGTATCAGTCATGGCTAAGAAAGCAAGAGAGAAATTAAACAGGAAATAAAATTTAATTCAAAGAAATAAAACATTTTAAGAAGTTTAATTTTAAAAAAGAGAAAAGAAAATGAAAATGTAATTGTACCTTAAAGAACCCTGCTTCAGGACCACACCTGTCATATACATTCCTGGATTTACCTATTGCCATTATAACACCTTGCATGTTCGGTGTCATCATGATCTGCCACAGGGATTCAAAGAATTTTTGAAAATTAACACAAAGAAATTAAAAACCAAAACAATTTCTTTACATGCAAGGTAAAGTTCCTTTCTTTTTCAGTACTTATAAATTATGTGCTGCATGTTTAAATTAGTGGATGTTTTGTGCATGTAAGCATCTTTCAGAATCATCTGTACAGGGCACAGCTGGTTGCCTCAGTGTCCATACAAACTGCAAAAAGGCATCATCTTCTCCAAACTGAATTTCAAAGAGGTACTCTTCTGAAGAAACTAATTAGAAAAATGTGCTGCTCTATGAGAAAACCATTCAGAAAAAAGCAACACCTCTTTTTTGTTTCTTAAAAAAAGATGCTTTTTCTCCAAGGCTTGGTGAGTTTAGGAAGAACTCAATTTTAGTCCCACTTCTGCCCCTTGGGTAGAGACCTTGGCACATCTGTACCACCTGTACATCTGTAAACAGCAGCCCTGTGCAAGTTATTTTTAATAGTTCCAAGGTACATGCACTGTTAAAATGTCACTCCAACACATTAAAAAACAAAATAAACAAAATATGACTCTGCCAAAACATAAGCACTTGCACAAGAAAACAGTGTTAAATGATTAATCACAACTCTTAAATGCCTGAAGGATTCTTCTGGCATTTAGGTGCCTGATCAAGAAATTAACATTTTATCATTAAAAACATGGCAGTTTTCATAATTTTTAAGATCCAACATAGAAATAAAATAGTTATCTGGAGAACTAGGGTTGTAGGTCAATGGTAGAGCACTTGCCTAGCAAGTGTGAGGCACTGGGTTCAATTCTAAGTACCACATATAAATAAAATAAAGGTACATTGACAACTAAAAAAAAATTAAAAAAAAATAGTTAACTGGAACAATGTATACTATTAAGTACTGAGTATTTGTTTTCAGTACAGCTTATTATTCTTAGCTGTTTATATTTGTAAATATCTGCAAAATGAAAACTCAGTGCTCCACTAAAGCTATCTTAGAGCAATCAAGAGATTACAGCTATTACCTTTGATTCACTGAACCTATTACTCATAGTTTTATTTTGTATTGTACATCAAGAGTTGCAATATATCTAACATTACCTGTTAGAGAAAACCCTCTGACCAGTTCCCATCTCACAAACTACTAATTATTCTTTTTATGGCCATGTTTTCTTACATTGACACAGTGATATTATTGTCTTTATGATACTTCTAATTTTGGTGATTAACTCTTACATAATAGTAATTATGTAAGAGTTAATCACCAAAAGTAAGTCTGCAAAAAAAGTTGCTTGGAATAAAACATTTAATATGTACTCAATTTTCATGCACACTCACAAAAACTAACAAGCAACAGAATCAAAATATTTTGTTGGCTTTTTTTCTAAATCACTTCACCTCTCCTATAAGCAAGGTCCCCTTTGACATTACTATTCAGTAACAGTTGCACTGGTGCTACTTAAAACAAAACAATTTTAAGAACCTTAAGAGAAGAGTGGAAAAGGGATGAAAATAATCTTTTGAATGTGATTCTGAAGAACACCATCATAAGAAATAAAAAATGCCTCCAGACTATTGATTGACATCTGAAAAAAACTAGGTAGATAAGAATAATCAATGAGGAGATAAAGAAAAAATAACAAGGGGTGCCAAAGTGTGTAAGACACTGTGATGCAATCATTCCACTCACAGTTATAGGGAGAGAGTATGGTGGCAAAAATATCAATTATCCAACCTGCAATCATGCTGCAGGATTTTCAGGTATATAATGGTGGCAAAATATAATAAGTTATTAAAGTAAAACAGAAAAGAAAAATAGAAGTTATTTTTAAATGCAAAAAAATTTTAATATAATTAAACCTTATTAATCTATCAACCTGAGAGTAAAAGGATTCTATTTCTGCAGAAAACAATCAACTCCAGAAACATATGTTTCTTATATATTCTCTATATGTTCTACTTAAATTTTCATTTGACTCCAAAGTTCTGTTAGTAAATGATAAGGTAGTTTCACACCACAGGTGGCAAAGCTGTATGTTATGCAGCAACAGACATAGTGTGCAGGTATAGGCATGCCTAAAGTACTTGTATTAAACAGCAAAAAGGAACAGGTTAGGGTGGTGCAGAGTACTGTCATAAAGGTACCTCATCATCATACCCCCCCTCCTTTGATTCAATCATGAATTTCCCTACGTGAGGAATCGCCACCTCTACAACTCGCTGGCTAGAAGGTGGTTGGCTTGTGGTATTTTCAGGTTTCTGCAGAAGAAAATCATTGGTATGAGCATTAGAAAAGAGAGCAATAGAAACACAAAGCTGAAATTCATAGATTCTTCACTCTTTCAACAAGGCCTACATTTGCTAGATTTAATAAAACCAACCAAAACTAAAAATGAGAAGCAAAGTTTTAAATTAAATAGTAACACAAAAATCTCCAGTCTTTCCCAAACATTTAAAACTAGCTTTTTCACAAAGTACTTTCAACTCTAAGTAATTAAAAGTAATAAATATATAAAAATAATACTCAAGTTGTATTTTCTACTATTGCTTGTTTGGCTGAAATAAAACAATTCATTAACTCCAAAAAGTTTTGCTTGCTATAAATACAAGATTATGATCTTCTCTAAACCCAGCAGAGTTTCTAAGGTATTCTCCTTATGGTTTACCTTTATATCCTTTCTAATAATTGATTGTATATAAGGCTAATTTCCCTATTCTGATGCGGTTAAACTCACTCTGTCCAACCTAGTATGTAAGTGTCCAACAAATTCTTGATATATATACATCTTAAGTGTCCAAGGAATTGTTGAAACTAAGGACAAGTTGCTAGAAAGTAATAAACATTTTTAACAATTCAATCAGATTTATTCCCTTTTATCTTTTCACTGTTAACAAATTCTATGCATCCCACTAATTTATACTAACAGAATGTCAGTGTGAAATTTAGAATAGTCCACTCAAAACCAAGATTCATTAAAAATACTATTTGGATTTTACATAGTCTTATTTTATTGAAAAACTGAAAACTGGCATGTCCACTATTAAGAAGCAAATGTCAAAAAAAGAAATGTGCCTGAAAGCAGCTTACTTAAGTAATTTCAATTTACACTGGGTTTTCCTAAGCACAGAAAAACCTAAGAATATTAAGGCATTTTACTTTCATTTGAAGTACAGGCAAATTTTGGTGAGATAAGCATTTTTTGACTTTCTAGAAGTATAAAATTCTGAAACAGTTTAATTAAACAATAAAACAAAACTAATGACCAAGACCATCACTGCCTCTTTCATAAAAAAATGTTGTTTCATTTTTAGAAAATGTTTCCTTACTTCTCAGAATCTTCAACTTTTCAAGAAGAAATAAGCAACCTACATTGCTGCTGTGGTCACGAGATAATATTCAGCTAACCCACAACCTAGTGTATAAGTTGTTTTACAAATTACAATTATTACCAATATTATACTATTTTATATACGCTTGAAATTATTTGAATAATTATAACTCAATATTACTACCATATGTAATCTATAGAGATATGCTCAAAATTAAGAATTTTTGCTTCTTCTAGCATATGAGAAGAATTTTGCTGGGTTTCCATTCACAAGAGTGAAAGAAACATAATCAGGTAAAGTAAGAAAGAAATCTGTCTGGAGTTTGTGATGATGAATTCCCATTAGCAAACCAATCCAAAAAAAAAAAAAAAAACTATCTTAAGTACAGAAATATAAACTTAAAGCAAATATCAACTGGGAAATGTATTACTTAGAATTCTGGTCATTATAAAACAACATATTACCTTATAAGGGGTTTTAGAAGGCTTTCCTGTTACTGTTAAAGAGTTTCAATAGCATAATGCTGATAAAAGTCAAACAAGGGAAGAAGCTTTAGCAGCATAAAATAATTCACTACCATTTATCAAATTTAAATTTACCAAAGTACTATAAATATTTTTCATATAAGGAAGTTAAGGGTTCACTGAAACAAAGTACATGTTGATCTTTCTCTCTTATTTTCAGACCTCAAATGAACACATAAAGAAAGGCTAAACTTGAAAAGTTAAAAATCAAATGTCTCACTCAATAAATGGCAAAAATAATTGAAATATAAAAATTTTTATTAATTTCTTGAAATCTATTAACTATATGACTTTTCAAAAGGGGTTTCATATGAAGGATGGTTAAAAAGATATAGAACTATAATAATATGAACATATTAATTAATATGTCATCCCTTTCAGCAATTCAACTATGGGGAATCTAAGGAAATATTGCTGGAAATAGGAACAAAATTGTGTTTTTTATAGCCTATTTACAATAGTATAAAAGTAGAAACAAACACACAGTGGAAGAATGGGTTAAGAAAACAATTTACTCAGTGGAATAACACTCAGCAATGTGCTTTTTTTTTTTTTTTTTTTTTTAAATGAGTTTGTAACAGAAGGAAAGGATTATGTTACAAGGTTAGGTGGATGAAAGAAAAAAAGGCGAGATACAAAATTTCATATGAAGTCACAATTCAACTACAAAACTAAGCCCCAAAATTATGTTTAAAAATAAGAGTGAAAAAAAAAAAAAAAAAGATAAGCAAGTGGGGGAAAAAAATCATATACTTAAAAGCCCAATCACTAACTTTCAGTAGTAAGTGGGACTATGCATGATTCTTTCTTAGAGTCTACTTTTTATAATTTTTAAAATATCCTGAAGTAGTCCATGTAAATTAATGACATTGTTCTAGAAACAAACTGTCTAAATATTTGGAGACTGTCTACGGTTTCTGGGATTCTAAGCTTTCCTGGGAATTTTCTTATTCTAAGGCTGGAACTTAATACGTTGTATATTTGTAAAATGGCTAGAACTGAAGTAACAGAAGGAACTTTCAAGTCTACTGGATGATATGCCAGGAGCTGTAAAAATGTTCTTCATTAACTCTATAATCACCCCCACTTTATGGAGAACTGAGACTTAGAGAAATTAAGCAATTTTTCAAGGTTGAATTAGTAGTAAAAAAAAAAAGATCAGTATTTAAAAACCCCAAAACACCTGATCCCAAAGTTTGAAGACTCTTAATTTGGTTTCTAATATATACTAAATTTAAATATGAAAAATACATTATGAATGACCATGAGACCAACAACCACACTTCTGATAGCCAACACTAACAAATTTTTAGATGTGCTGGAGGATCAAATAGACAGTGCGGCGAACTCTACATGCTACCCAGAAGATAAGGTAGATAAATATTTATGCTGTTTTTCTATCATAATCACTTACTACCATCCTTTTTTTTAAAGTAGAGATAATGCAGTAGGTTGCTAGTTTATGATTCCCACAGTAATCAAAATGTAAGTGCTGATTTCTGTGAATTTAAATTACAGATGATTAGTCAAACTAAAAAAAAAAAAATGACTCTAACTTAAGCTAAGTAATGATTTTAGTTTTCTGATAGTAGCTACAAGGATGACATTTATTAACTCTATTTTAGGTTTTAACAAATCAAAGTTTATAGCAAGAGCCTTACTAGTTATTATTTTTTTTAATACAGGGCAAAATATTTTTCCTTTGTATTTCTTTCTTTCTTTTTCCTTTCCTTTTCTCATTTCCCCAAGAAACATAATTCCCAGATCCATTAAGCAAAGTATTTCCCAAGAAAAGATTAAGCATTAGCAGATGTTGATCTTAAGTTTATTGATAGCCTCTAAAGCATCTGAAAAATTTGGAAATATAAAAAAATCTATTATACTTAATGTACTTTTAAATGGTAAGATGATATTAATACATTTTCAAATTGTAAATAAATTCTGATTATTTAGTTCATGAAAACACAACTGACAAAATACTCTATTTACTGGACATTTTAGTTAAGTGAGGTCATATCATATTGAAGGCCTCATGATAGGTTATTGTTCAGACTGAGCTCACTCACCGAGAAAACTATGTATTGAAAATTATGGATTATCCTGCTATTTTTAGTTTTACAGGAGAGAATTCTTCAAATACTTAAAGGAGCCACTATAAAATGTACATTAGTACTCTTTACATTTCCTAGTTAAGTAAAGGATCAATGACTACAGAAATTCAATGCTTTTGTAGTTCCAAACAGCATTTCTCAGGAGGTCATATTTACTAATAAAATAACACAACACCACTATGCTCAATTGAGTGTTATAAAAAGACAAACTTGAAAACACAAAATAGTAGAATAATAATGACAACTGTTTCACAGGATACTCTGTAACTATGCACAAACTGTCTTGGAACATCATATTTATCCTGATAATAGTGTTCTAATCTAGAGTATGTAGTAGTCTTACTACAAACACATTTCATGGAACAATGGGATTTATATCATAAATTTCCAACTATTTAAATGTAAATAGATTACAGATGGAGGGAAGGGAAAGGCACTGGAGAAAGAGTTGTTGCTTTTGAACTTTATGCTTTGTTAAGTTCCAAGTCAAATGGACAATTTTGTCTATGATTATGATTCTTCATAATTTGACAGGTAGAAACTTAATAGAAAAGCATCCTTAAAAGGATAAGCTAAGGAAATTACAACCCAGGGGTCAGGCGACTTGTCCCCCGTTCAGACACCACGGCAGAGCTGGAAGTGGCCTTCTCTCCTGGCTCCGGCCGCTTCCAATTGCCCTGGAGGAAATGTTGTGAGCATGGCTATGTTCAGAGAGCCAAAATAAAAGTTCTTACCGACTGCAAAACTGTTTCAGGACTTTTATCTTCATGCTCATGTGATGCCTTGGTAATTATTCGAATAGTTTCTTCTTTCAAGTGCTTTGAGAAATCACTTCTTGATGGCTGCTCTAGATATTCTGGTTCTCCTGCTTGTGCTTCATGAGAAAAGAATCAATTGTATATCTAATATGAATCACAGAATCTAAACTAGTAGTAAACTAGTAGGTTGAATGTGTTATTTATTTCTAATAACCAAATTTTAGTCTTCTATTTAAAATAAAATATATCCTTCAATATATAGCACTTTCCCCCAAAATTTACCCAAACCTCCCCAAAATAACACAAAACCAAAAAACCAGAGTACCAAAAGTACTGAAATAATTATTAAAGAAAGCACTCACTACTGTTTAAGTTAAGAAATTCATAGTAAATTTTTTTGGAATGAGAAGTACAAAAATCTCATTTTGGAAAAATCTCCAGCATTTTATAAAACAAAACAAAAACAAACAAACAAACTTTCTTTTGGTTTGTACAACAATCCTGGGCTGGCTTTCCATGGAAGATAAAACATCTTTGTATACACCTACCTGACAAAATCCTAACCCTGAACAAACCTAACCTATTTTTTCTGAACCTGACCCTGGCAGCTGAGTACTAGAAAGAAAAGCAAGCACAAATTGGCAAACTAGTAGTAATATAATTCACGACTTCAAATACCATCCATGTAAACACCTTCAAAGTCACCTCTAACTCCTACCTATCTTTTGAGCTCCAGACCCACAAATCCAACAACACTCTTAATATCTACTGGGTATTTCATAGCTAATCTCCAAATTCACATATGACCTAGGAGGATAAAGCTATCAGTGGAGCTTCCGTCCCTGTCTCAAATGTCACCTTATGTCCTTTGCTCACAAGGTCCACATGTGAGCCTTTTTTTCTTTCCCTAGTACACTGAAGGAGAAGTTTACCTTCCAACATTTGGAATTCTCCACATATTCTTCCCTCTGCCTTTAGGCTCACACACTCTCTTACACTTCTCATATAGTAACTTGCTTAAATAACAATTCTGTATAGAAGTGTGGCTGGATGACAACAGCCCCCCACCACAGCAGGATTTCTCAGCCTCAGCATTACTGAGATTTTCATTCAGATAACTTTGTGGTGTGAAGGACTGTCCTGTGGACCCCACCATCTATGCACTTGGTGCCACTAATACTGTTCCCTTCTCTCAAAGTATGACAACCAAAAATGTCTCCTGCCTCGTAAAATGTCTACTCAATGACAAAATCATTCCCATGTGGAAACCACTGCTCTGAAGAAACTTAAACTTTCCTTTTAAGTATCATTACCACAATCATAACATTATTATTATTATTATTAATTATATTATTAATATTATATTTGTTTGAAGTCCACATCCCCTGCTAAACTGGAAGAATCTCATGAGCAGAGATGCCATCTCCTTTTTGTACTCCTAATTCTTCAATGTCTAGCATAAAATAGGAACATTATAATGGAATGAATGAATTAATAAGTTAGTGAATGGATACAAAGAATAAGAAAGTACCGTAAACTTTTCATATTAGTGGTAAGAGTCCTTGTCAATTACCTAGTAAAACATAATAGGTCTACTGTCATCCTCCCTGATGCTCTTTAAATTCAGAAATCACCAAAGGGAAATATTAATCACAAAGGAGTACTATGATGTGAAGATACATGTGTGGCCATTCATGTGACCAACAATTTTAATAAAGCATTTAACTATGTGCCAGGCACAGGGAATGTGAATATGACAAAAGAGCCGGTCTCATCTCCAACAAGTTTCAGTCAATGTGGAGAAAGTCATTAACCAAATAATCACAGATATAAATTGAGGCAATATTTTGACAATACATTCAAGAAACAAAATCAGGGTAGAGTGGTATGTTTGGGCAATTTAGTTATTGGGATACAGGGTAAAGTGACCTTTAAAAGCTGAAGGATACATGAATTATTTCACAAGAGAGAAGAGCAAAGAGGCCAAGGAATGATCATGAGCTGAATCTAGAATGGGTGGTGGGGCTGAAATACAGTGTCTGAGTGGAGACATGACAATAGATGAACACAGGTAGAGCAAAATGGGGTAGAGAGAGAAGATGGGAGGGGAGGGGAGGGGAGATAGTAGAGGATAGGAAAGGTAGCAGAATACAACAGTTACTAATAGGGCATTATGTAAAAATGTGGATGTGCAACCGATGTGATTCTGCAATCTGTATTTGGGGTAAAATTGGGAGTTCATAACCAACTTGAATCTAATGTATGAAATATGATATGTCAAGAGCTTTGTAATGTTTTGAACAACCAATAAAAAAAGAGAGTATAAAAAATAAAAAACAAACAAACAAACAAAAACATCAATAGCTTTGATGTCATGTAAAGTGTTGAGAGTTAATAGGAAGTGAGCTAAGTATTAAATATAATGGCAACATGGTAAATTAAAAAAAAAAAAAAAAAAAAAAACTTCTGGAGGTAGGGTGTAGCTCAGATGTAGAATTTTTGTTCAGCATGTGCACAAGATCCTGGGCTCAATCTTCAACACAAGTTAAAAACAAAAACAAACCTCTGGTTACAATGTGAAGAATGGATTAGAGAGGAGAGTAAAATTCAAGGTCAGTAATGGAACACAGGGATATTAGAGCAATATGTGAGAAAAATGACTGTACTTAGAGATAGCAGAGCTCTAAAAGTAGAAAACAGTGGCTAAATTCAAGACATATTTTGGACACAAAGGATTAAAAGCTACACATTAAGATGATTCTAAATTTTTGGCCTAAAAAACTAGGATGCAACAGCTAATGCTTACTATTAAAAAAACAAAACAAAACACCAGAGGTGGTATTATGGGTTAGATATGAGTAGACATGAGGTGTCCCCCCAAAAGTTCCTGTTGTAAGACAACACAAGAAAGTTTAGAAGTAAAACAATTGGGTTATGACAGTTTTAACCCAATCAGTATACTAATCCCCTGATAGGGATTAACTGGGTTCTAATTGTAGGCATATAGGATGTAGCTGGAGGAGATGTAGCTATAGTAAAGAGAGCTCTCTGACTCCTGATCATCATGTCTGGAGCCACTTCCCTCCACCACACTCTTTTGTCATGATGTTCTTGGAACTCTGAGGAATAGAGCCAGCTGTCTATGGACTAAGAGTTCTGAAACTGTAAGCTACAAATAAACTTTCCTCCTCTAAACTTGTTCTTGTCAGGTCTTTTGGTCACAGTTGTGTTGTGAGAAGCTGAAAATAAGTGGGAATGCATAAATGTGTGCAACAAAGGAGAAACACTGAAGAAGTTAAATGTCCTCATATATAAACAGTACCCGACTTTGGACTGACTGCAATACACTCTATGCCCCTGCACAATGGGTAAGGTAAGGAAAATCTTAGGCTACTACCAGTTTAGCAGTGCATCTGCTTATAGAAGTTTTCATTAAGTGGCATAAGCCAACTGCTTTAGAGCTTAACAGAGAGAAATGTTCTATTAATAAAGTTTTTTTCTTAGGTTTTCCAATCTTTTTCTTACCATAGAAGACAATGACACTGGTTGATAGAGGGATGTGAGCTTAATGCAATTAAGGCAAAGAAATCCATCTGATCTGACATTGGCCTAAACCTTCAGTCATGTAAAATAAAGTCTTTAGGAGCAAGAGTAATTGTATTTGATTAACACAGTGAAATCCACCTTATGTCACCAGGGCCCGACGTTTTCTTCCACAAACAGGATTGAGTCCAAAATCCTTATAAGTAATATCAAATTATTTTACCCAAATGCCACATAGAACTATTTTTTCTAGAGCTTTCCGTGTGTATATACTTCACAGGGAACTGATCTGAGTGCTGCTAAAGCCCACAGTATGTAAACCTACACAGATTTAGCACTCAGAGGTTGAAATTGGAAACCCAAACTACACATCCAGTTTACTGAACCTGTGCCATTTTCTGTACTGTGCTAGGTTTTTACATACTTCATTCATTTTAAGAAATCCCCAGAAAAATCAGATAAATACTCTATGATAATACAAGTTGCTAAATGAAATAATAACTATGCATAAGGCCCAATAAAAGAACTATAGCCCCAATACACCCACTTGGGATGGTGTGGCATGCTAACAAAGACTTTCCAGAAGAAATGCCAGCTGAGAGGCTCTTGAAGAATTTGTTGAGAGGATTATCTGGGAGATGAGAAAAAAAGACAACTCCAAGCAGAAGGAACAGAATAAGCAAAACCACTGTAAGTGCAGATGAGAGTTTAATAAAATCTCTGCAACTAAGGAGCCTTTCCGGTGGTAAGAAAGCTAAAATATAAATACAATAAAGAGTGCTATAATAAATTTGGTAGCAGGAATGTATTGGGGTGACCTAAAAGACATTCAAAAAGTCTATGGGATATGTAGATGATCTTAAAGAATGGGCAAATATTGATGATACAAGGAAATTTTTAAGATGAACCATACTTTATAAGTAAGTAATTCCATGTTGATAAAGAAAACATGTAGGAGAAACGATAAGTAATCTGGTTAAGATGAAACATAAGGTACTCATAGGTAAGTATTCTTGGAAGAATAACAGGAATCAGATGATAATCAAGTTCCTCATTTAAAAAAAAAAAAGTTTTGTCATCATTTTATCAAATCAAAAGAGTAAAAATATATTTACCATAACAAACAAGTAAAATGAGGTCAATTAAAAGCTCTTTCCACTATCCAGAGATGAATGGGGTCCTATCTGTTTCAGGTCCTATCTATTTCCAGACATTTTATATCTATCTATCTATCTATCTATCTATCTATCTATATATATATATATATATATATATATATATATGAAAAAGAACTATTTGATATACATGGCTTTTAACTTAAATAACAAGCATTTTCATATCAATATAATGTTTTTGGTTCTGGATGAAGGTTTCATATAACTAAAACTTCAACATAACATTTAAGTAACTTCTATTTCATTGTTAACAGCAGCAAGACAAAAATGGTTGGCTTTTCCTATATAAACACACACAATCATTTTTATTTATCTATAACTATATAAAAACCTGACCCTTGCAGGCCTGAATAAATGGTAGGAACTTAATAAGAGACTATGCTGTTTTTTGCATCTACTTTATGGTCTCAATGGCCCTTTATATACTAACTAACTCAGTTTAATGTCTTGGTCAAACTACAAATGGGAAGATAGGTGTTGACAACTTTTGCAATACTCATTTTCCTTAATTCCTGGAAATTTTCTTGACTCCCTACCTGCTACAAATTTCTAAATGCACTAAATTCACCATGAGTGACCAACTCTCTATGGAGGTATATAACATAACCTAAAATATCTTCTCAAATCATTTGTTCCATGAGTGGCACCCTGAGACTTTCAAATAAGTGGCATCCAAGTAAGAGATTTTTCAGACAAGTTCGACAGGTTGTGTAACAGCATTGTTATTCACCTTTGTTGCTGTTACAAAAGGCAGGGCCTTCTGAGGGCACTCTTAGCTGCTTCCTTGGATACCTTCATATCAGGGATTAAAGGGGTTTAGGGAGATTATTACTTGTGTGTATTACCTAATTATGATCTTCAACATTTTACCAAGTGGTAAAACTCAACCATCAATTAGCTTTCCATTAAATGTAAGAATATGCTCTTGATCAACTGTAAGAAAAAAAGTAACATCTCAATTATCTTTAAAAAGTATTTATTTCTTGATTTTCTAAAGAGTCATTACAATCACATTGTAGGAGATTTCAGGAAGATTATTTGGCAAATATGCAGACCACCCATTCTAGAAATATATTTAAAATAAATAATTCCCCAAAAGCAGCCAGTAGAGAGCCATGCTAGGCTGACTGCATAGAATCACAGGTGGAACTTTTAGGACTTCACATTCCTGGGTACCACTCTAAATACAATCTCTGGGGTATAAAAAAATATAGGTTTAAGAACAGTAATTATACTTAAAATTACTTCTGAATAGAGAGCTACATTCTCCTACACACTTCAACAGCCTCTCACTGTAAATCACTTTGGCTATCCCCCTGAGATCTTGCATTCTCCAACAATGAGGACCATGCCTAGGACATCGTTATTGGACTCACAGGGAAAGAACTCAGTTTAGAAAGGAATTCAAGGCATCTACCATAGGTTGGTTGTTATGCCAGATAATGGAGGTACATGTAAGAATACCCCTAGCTCTGCTTCCAAGAAACTGAGATACTGAGGATATTTTCTTTCTACCTGGTTTTACTCTTAAGGAACTAAATGTACTTGTCTAGAAAAAAGCTTTTTTTTTTTTGAGACAATGTTCATAGAGAAGTCCTAAAGTCAATTTTGCCTCTCATCTCTAAATAAATTCATGAAACTTTATGGTATACATTTCATATCAATCTTAACTATTTTTTACCTTATTTTTCATATCAGTTTCTTTCTTTTCTGTTTCATAATCTGGGTATGCTATATATACTGCAACTACTCCAAATACTTTTGGTTAAGATAGGAACAACACAAGTAAACTAATAATTCCAAAAAATGTTCTTCTCTCCTTCAGAATAATCTCTCTTGTATATAATTACACCTACAGTCATGCTGCTTTACCAGAGAATAACCTCTGAATTATCTGAAAATTTTTAATAAATACAAATTCCAGATCTTCCCTCCAGAGATTCTGATTCATTCCATAAGTTGTAGGTGGAGAGTACTGAATCTACTCAGAGAAAACTCCAATTGGTAATTTTTATATGTACACCCATGGCAAAGAACTGCTGCTTAGAAAGATACATAAAAGTATTCAGCTAAGATTTTCTTTGCAGTAAACAGATTGTGGGAGGTGGCATGAAATAAAAAAATAACATGTTACCGAAACTTTTATGTCAGTTTCAGGAAGTGATGAATGGTACGGTAGAATTAATGCCAATGGAATTCCCGGCCATGTGAGCAGAAGAGAAAAATACTGATTTGATTAATATATATTATAATATAATTATTTGGAATGTCATTCAGTAGAAATTGGATTTTAATGGTTCTTCTGTTACAGCTTTACTGAGAAGATTTTTCAGGGAAATAAGGAAAATTTTATGAATAAGATTTCCTTGAATTATTAGTCAATCATAGTGTACACCTGAAAGATGTCAACTATAGGTTCTCTCTGAGATGCTGGAAGCATTTAAGCAGATTAAACAAATTACTTACTTTGAAAAATAAGAAAAGAAATAGGGAGAAGAAGGCAAAAGCATTAAAGTAAAATTTCTCTACTAAGGAGATAAATGATTCTAGTGAAATATTACATTTATTCAATTGTATATGCTAAACTCCCCTGCAATAGAGGATGAATTAATTAATTAATATGAGAGCAAAGATAATATAGTAATAAAATAACTTTTCTAAAAGCAATCTCACTTTCTACATTTACAAACTTGGTACATTCTACTCCTACTAAATCAAACAAAATGCATATTTCATACAGAAGCCATAATGCTTCCTATAGAGGTAGTACTGCCACTGTTTTCTAAACCCTTGGTCTGTTAGATTATAACAATTTTATATGACTTGAGCATTTATCTTTTAGTTATTTTGGTTCCTCTCAGAAATATATCTGCCTTCAATGAAAAGCTAATTTCAGCAGTAAAAGAGACATAAAAACATATGCCAAAAATTAGTAATGAATTAAAAAACAAAACAAAACACCATGTAAAATATATGGTGGGAAGTACTGATCATGAAAAAAAGGTGTGGGGCATATGAATATGGCTTTTTACACCAGAGAAAATAAAATTACAATTATAAAAGGTAAAACAAGGCAGGTCCTTATCAAATAGGGATATTTGGGGGAATATATATTAGTTTGACTCCATAGAAACAAAATATGTTAACTCTATGAGAGACATGGAAGATGAAGAGAAGGAGATTACATAGAATTTAACATTGTGGTATCACAAAAGGGAGTTGAGTGACAGTAGAAATAAAATGTGTTAACCCTAAATATGGAGACTAACAAGAAACAGACAAAATGAAAAGCAGAAGGCTATGCAGAATTTAACATTTTGCTTTCACAAACTATAGATGAACCAGGAATAAAGTAGATCAAGCAATGAATAATGCACTCACTATGCCTGAGGTCTTAGGGACTACTAGCACACAGTTTAATTATGCAGCCTTTTCCTCCTACTAAGAGCAAGTTGAGAAAAATCACATGTGAATAGCCTTAAGGGAAGAACAACGCAAAAACTCCATCTTGGGCAAATTCTAGACAATGGTTTATGAAGGATATAAACAGAAGACCAATATGATATCACAAAGGGATGGAATTGGGTTAAAAATGAAAGGAACTGATTTGAACCAAAAAACTCTTTTGTTCATGAACTGAAATTGATAAAATCATGAACTGAAATAGATTTCTATGCATGCATGAGTTTGTCTGGATGAACACAAATACTATGTATAACCAAAGAGCTCTAATAAAATAAAATAACCTCTTGATATCTCCTGAATCTACATTGTTGTAGACACATGGAGCATTGCCTGCTCTGTGTGGCAGCTGTGGATGTCTGGGAAGAAAGCAAAATCCTACATAACCATAGAGTCTTCCCAATGGTGATACTCAAGTGCACTATGTGATGTTTAAGTATCCAAATGTGGATATCTTTGTTGGCATAATATCATTACCTGGGTCTTTTTTAAAATTCTGAACTATCTGCCTAAAATCAAAATCAGTGACTCAACTATTCAATTTATAATTTAAAAAAGTCAAGAATGTGAACAGATTTGTGCATGCCTAAACTGGTCACAATACCATAATGTGGTATTGCAAGTTTTTCACTAAAAAAACAATTCCACCTAACTCTCTAAATGATAATTCTGAAACCCACCTACATAATGCTGCATGTAAATCAGTCTATTTAAAAAAATGAAATAAAAAAACCCCTGAAATGCTTCCTTAAAAAATAAAACACTTAGATCTTGCAACAACAAAGATTATTAAGAAAATATCCACTCAATGTGATAGGAAAAATGAGAGAGAGATAAATTTGAGAAAATTACCTAAGTTTAATTCATATCTTCTCATTTCCCCAATGACTACAGAGAACTAGCACTTCTCTATAGCAGGAAATAATCCTAAATAAACTATATTACAACTCTGTGATGATGAAATTGACTTTTTAAAAGGATCTAAAGATTTCCAACTTTACTGGAACACATTTTCTTTATTTTTGCTGTGTTTCTTTTCAGTATTTTATTGATTTCATCAGCTAAGGTTTGAGAATAGCTGTGCTTTCTGTGGTAATGGGGATTAAATCCAGGGGTGCTCTACTACTGAGTTATATCCCTAGCTCTTTTTTTTTTTTTTTTTTGTTTTGAGACAGGGTTTCTCTAAGTTGCCAAAATTGCAATCCTCCTGCCTCAGCCTCCCAAGTCACTGGTATAGACTTACACCACTATGCCTGTCAAGAATGACATTTTTTAGTATTTAAATTTAATCTCTGTTTTATAGGTCTATATTTTTTTTTAATTTGGAATAAAGTAAACAGTTTATTTTGTCTAACTTTGTTTTTAATCTTAAGTAATTTCTAAAATAAAATATCCTGTATTGATGGTGCTATTTCAATACTACATAAAATATATATGGATATACCAATAGTATCATTCTCTAAAATCCAAAATTATCAGAGTTCATTCTTCTAATAGATTTAGTGAACTGGCTGCATTGCTTGCTTATTTCACAGCTTTTCTTGCTTCTTGCTAAGAGACTAGCTCACTCAAAGTAGGCAGGGTAGTTAGAAAGTCAGCAGAATCATCACACTTATGTTGAAAAAAGGTCTACATGCAAACAATGATGCCTGGCCAATGGGTAATTAAGATGTTACCTGTGATTATAACTGACTGTGGAATTTCAGATAATTTCTACTGGCTTCTTCATACTTAAAAGTTTAAGGATTTTTTTTAAATTCGATAAGCATATCTTATTTTTATAACACAATAATAACAAATGTAAGTTTGCTGATAATAAAATACAACTTAATAAAAATGGACAAACCTGTTGTCGCAGAAGACTCAGACTCCCTCAGTTTCTGAGATGCTAAAAGCTTTTCCTGCAAAGCTTTCTGGGCAAGTTGTGCATCCCATTCCTCAAGTTCTTTTTCAAATCGCTGGTTGTCTTCCTCAACAAAATCTCTCAAATCTGGTGGTAATGTTTCTATTCCAACAAGTGCCTGCCCAGTTTCTTTATTAAACTCCTCTGCAAATCATATTTCAAAAACTAGTATAAAATTAAGAGTTAAAAGAAAAATGCAAAGCTCCAAATAAGGTTATATACTACATATTATTTCAAATGGAACATATACTATGTATTATTACAGTATACCATATCAATATAATTTAAATTTTATAAAAATTCCAAATGCTTTTCAGAAAAAACAATGATACAAATATTTGATAAGTCATTTAGGTAATTCTGTCACTTGTTTTTACTCTGAAGAGAAAATTTTTTACTACTCCAACACTGAGGTTTTTATTTCAGAAAATACCAGATGTTTGATTACTTGTAAAGTAAAACTTTTCAAAGTAACTCACAATTTTATGAGGCTCAAAATAAAACTAAAATTATTTTTCATCTGAAGCAGTAATGCATACTAATAAAAATACACAATTATAAAAATTAATAAATATAACAAGATATTTTAAAACATTATATAAATACTATTTAAAAGACTCACTCGACCTCTACTATGCACACACACAAAATAAACTTCACATTTTCAGCTATAAGTGGACTGCTTGTTTTTGCTGAATGCTTAAAAACAAAAGTTGATTTTATCAGCTTCAACAAAATGTTTTCTACATGCAGAGCTCATATTAGAAACAAAAAGATTAAGGTATGGTAAGCCATGGACTCCAACTCTGAGCAGATCAGAGCGAAGACAGCTATAATATACAAGAATAAATGGCCAATGTAAGCATGCTAGGATAGCACAAGGAGAGGTACTTCCTGGCAGGTTAAGAAAAACTACAGAGATGACACCTGAATTGAATCTTGACAGAGGAGTAGGAATTAGGCAAGAGAAAAATGAAGAACACTACTGGCAAAAATAAAACACTTAAGAACACAGAGATATAAATGTGTGGAGTGGTTTGATGTGAGCTGAATACAGAAAGTAACTCAAATACCAGTGAAGTATATGAAGTTCAAAATGAACGAAGGTGATAACTGAAGCTGGAAAGGCACACAGAGGCCAGAAAACAGGCCTTCTGTTAGGCTAAGGCGTTTAAATGAGTTAGTTAAGTGGGTGTAATCATTAAAAGGTTTCTAGAAAGGAGAAAAAGGGTCAGATTTACATTTCATAGTCAACTCTTAAGTACGAAATGTATGCCAGCTCTCAGTTCTGGACAATAACTTTTCAATTCCAGCTTTCTCACTTCCAATTACCTAAACATGGAACATCACCCTCTGTGTCAATTAATAATTACAGCACAGGACAGAGTCCCACTGAAGTGCCACTTATTTAAAACTATATACTACACTATATATTTTATACTCTTACCTTGTATTAAGAATTGTGCCTTATCGTTTATATACATTAAACAGTATGCACTGGCATTTCTATAACCACCAAAAGAGTCCCTCACTAATTCTTCCCATGAGGATTTTGTCACAGCAATATCATTGTACTTCATCCACCTGCTTTCATGATGATCAAAAATATATGCCCAGTAGTGCCCAGCATTAGCTTGGCCTTCATGAACTAAAACAGCATGTAAGCGATAAGGAACCTAAAAAAAGAAGAAAAAAAAAAGTTAAACTGCAACTATTAGTAGTCTAACAATACCACATTCTATGAAACCCAAAACTATCAATTTGAGGGGAAGCATGGATGCACATTTTTCTAATAGGTTAGAATTAAAATCTTGAATTTAAAAAATATTAAACTATAAACTCACAAAAAAGAGGGAAATTAAAAAAGCTAAAGATACGTAAAATGTGTGTATGCATATGAGAATGATTATCTGAAACTTTCAAAATACATTTGTTGTGTAGGTATTTGTTGATCTATTTATTTTTTCTTGAATATAGAACTCAGGGTGAAGTGTTCTATATAATACATGATTTTTCCAAAACTTCATAACTGGTGGCTAGCAAAATAAATTATATACTATATGCCAGAAGTTAAAATGCTTTGAGCTTTAGGGTTTTTCAACACATCCTGTATCCTTAAAACAATCAAATATTTTTTCCTATAGAACTTTTCCAAAAAATTGAGACCTTTTGAAACTTTTTGATAAATTGCATTGTAAAACTATAAAATGTGTAAGCAATAGGTTCAGAATAATACAACTGAATGGAGAAAATCTGTTATATAATTTGTCATGAAATTTTTCCCATTCACTTGTAATTAAAAAATGTACATCGTTTAGCTTTTTTGTTATTTTATAATAAAATTTATAACAAAACATGTAACAAAGAATTTAACTTAAAATACATGTAAGCAATTTTGATAATGATTATTAGCTAAAAATTTCACTTACTTGTATCATGGATTTGTCAGAGTACATCAGTTCAATTGTTCGATGGATTCTGGATATGCTTTCCTGCAAATCTAATGATGTAAGGTGACATTTAGTGATTAACATCAAGTGTATTTCTACTGAAAATTATAAGACCAGGATGAAAGTTTACCTATAAACGTATTAGAGAAAAAAGGAAAATTTCTGAAACATTTCATAAAATGTTACCATCTGGATCTGTGTAAAATGAGATATAGTTCTCTTTCATAAAAGATATGTCGCAAATGCACAGGGAAAAACCAAAGCAAATGTATCATCTAGAAAATTTGCAGAGCTGATACAACCAAAGTTTGCTTTTCAAGTCCTAATATAAAAGATGGACTCAATAAAAATTAAAGCTAACTCCCCCCTTACATACTAAAATGAAATAACTTAAGAATAAAAGAAAATAACTTCACCACAATTCATGCACATATATATAAGTGAATAAAAACCCACTAAAATCACCGATGGGAATATAATTATGGGGCTCTCATTTCCAATTATTTCTATTTACAGTAGAAAATAATTCTATAAAACTACTCTGATATAAGAATGTTCATAACTATGTTTTCCATAATAATTTTTAAAACTCAAGATAATCTAAATATCTATGTTATTAGGGAAATGGCTAAACTGAAGTGTAATCACAACATACTGGAAATATATTCAAAAGAATCAGGAAGAAACCATGAAAGATCAAAGAAAATACTAGAAACTTTAGAGCAGAGAAAGACCTGTCTTTACCTGATAGAAAACCCAGGAACCATAAATAAAGCAGAAGACCCTGTAAACACACCCATAACTTCAAAAACCATATATTTTCAAAACAAAACAAACAAGAATCAGTATAAAGAAGGGCAAATGATAAATCGGGATTATTTACAACCTAAACTATAGGCAAAAAGTTAATATCTATAATACATTAAATGTTCTAAGTACTAAGAAAAAGGTAAATGGCTCAATATAAAAAAATAGGCAAATGGGGCTGGGGACATAGTTCAGTGGTAAGTCCTTGTCCATCTTCAGAACTACCAAAAAAAGGAAATGACCTAAGTAATTCACAGAAAAATATGAATATTCAGCTTCGTTCATAATTAAGGAAATACATATCAAGACACTGATGTACCACATTTTTCACTCCTAGACTACCACAGATTAAAAGTCCCCAGGGTTTGGGAGGGCACTGAGAGACAGGCTTTCTCACACACAGCTTGATTCAGTGTTTTGAAGAGACAATCTTGAATCATCAGTATTTAAGATATACACACTTTGAACCACAAGTGGCACATTTATATAGTACTTACAAAAGTATATAAATATATGTGTGAAAAGCCAGCAATATATCATTATGAAAATTAAATAAATTATATTATATCAATGTGTTGGGGTTCTATTAAGAGTTTAAAAAAAAATACTGTTAACATCTACTATCAATAGAGATGAGAGGAAACAAACACCTGAGGACCACAGTATTATACGAATTTCCTTCACACTCCTCAAATCTACCTTAGCTTTCTTCTTCTTCAAGGGAACCTGCTTGTCTTTGCCTTTTTTTAAAGTATAATGTTCAGTACTCAAACTATTATGAACCGCAGGAACCCTTCCTGATTCCTTTCTCACCTATCATTGACCTACATGTGTCACCTGTCTCCGAGGATTATTTTAAGTACCCTCATTTCTTCTCCATCAGTGCCACTACTTGGTATAAAAAGCTTCCAAACTTTCACCCTTAAGAATATGATCTTATAGAAACAGCCTGCCATGCCCAAGTGGAGAATTATCCGATGCCTAGCATAGTGTTCGAGAATATTGTGTTTACTTAATATTTGTTAGCAAGTTCAAATATTTAAAAATTCCCCATACAAAAATACTAAGGAAGAAAATCTTTACAGCACTAATGCTAATTGTTAGTCACCATCATTTACGCTCTATTATATTGGATCACTTATTCACATATTGTCACAGAGTGTCAAGTTGGTCTTATAGAATCCAACAATCAATGTGTTCAATATAATTTCAACCTGTAGTATTAAACAGTAGCTCCTATTTTCTTTTAATTTTAAGAGATTGATTAATTAGCATAAAATTGGGAGCCAATAAAAGGATATTATGTTTTGACATATAAGGAAAATATACAATAAATAAAATCCCCCATGAAATATGAACAATATGATTTCATTAAAAATCAAAAGTCTATGTTAAAAATAAGGAGATAATTTCAGAATAAAGATGAGTTTCTTTAAAGAAAAGATAGATTGAAGTCTAACACATACACACATACACACACACAGAGCACCATCCTTATTTTTCCTATTTTGCTACATGCCAGTTAAACTATGTTCTATACTGGCACTGGGTTCACAGATCATATCTTCAGTAGAGAGGAGATTCAAAACGAAAATTCACATTTCTAACTCTTAAGCCTAAAGAAAACTTCTTTATCACTTGAACTTGTTCATTATGCAAACATCAGGTGAAATATAAACTCTGTCATTGTACGACATTTCACCAATAGAGTAGCTGTGAATACCAGTTTGATATATATTTAGAACACTAAACTAGAAAATCATACCATCTGCTATGTCATTAATCAGTTAAGTTATCTGAGGAAACTCTTGGTCCCTGTGAATTTGATATCACCATCATAAAAATGGGAAGGCAAACTAAGTTATCTGACTAAAATCTCTTCTAGAAAAAAAAATGACTATAATATTTAAATATGAAATCCACAAGTGATTTCCCTTCTCAATTTAATATTTTGCATATTCATCTGAGGTGACATTAGCTACAGTATGAGAAGCTTCTTACCTCTTGTGTCATTTTCTATTTCTGTCCTCCAGCGATGTAAACAGCTTTCCAGCACAGAAAGTTCTTCTTCTGTTATGTGCCTTGGTGCTGGATGCATGGGCAAATCTGGAGGTATCCGAGACTGAGTGAATGGTTTGTGTATTACTGACCTCGATGAAACTGCAGAAACTGATGGAGGAGATGTGCTGGGCAGTTCTGAAGAAGGAACTCCCTGTAGTTCTGTTGTGCTGCATTTTGAAAGCATAAAATATTTCTCATTAAGTCTTTAAACTAAAGCACTAGAAAACATACAGCACTGTTACCCTATAATTTCAAAAAGAACAGATCATAGAAAAGAAATACATGGATTGACTTAATATTCTGATGAGATCTGTAATGCATGAGGACTCCATTATTATAAAGACAAAATTGATATTACAGTAAAAATGGCTTGCTCACATTTAAGAAGAAAAAGAAAACTAATGCATGCTGAAATTAAAAAGATTTTCTCTTTCTAAAATTTATCAGCTTATATACACTAATAAATTTTATTTTAAAGGCATTATTTTGATGGTTGACAAACAGTTGAAACTTACATAACTTATACCAAATCAATGTACAATATAATTCTGAACATTAAAAAAAACTATGAAAAGTTTAATTTGGAAACATAAACTCTACTAAAATACTGAAATAAGAATGCTCCCAGAAGACATAAAATCTTCTAAGTAAGTTAGAGCACACATTTTCTAAAACCTTCCTTCCATCAGTTGCATGTAATACAGGCAAACAGCTGCCAGATTCACAAAGGAAACTTCACCTTGATGATGTCTGTGATGGTGTGGAACCACTAGGTGGGGAACTAGCATCAATGTCATCGACAGGAGAAGTGCAGACAGGTTTACTTGAGGCAAATTCCAATGCATATTGCAGAACATCCACCAAGGGGAATCGTTTGGGACCCGAACCGTAACTTAAATATCTGTTACATAAAATATATGAAAAAATAAAAAGTAAAAAAATAAAATAAAATATATGAAGGTTTTTATTTTTATAGAGAGCACATACGGATTTTTAAAAAGAATTCTTACAAAATATGTTATAATACTTCAAAAACTCTCAACAAGGAAATTAATTTGCTTTCAAATGAAGAAGGCAAAACTGATTATGCATTCAAGAAGAAAACATAATCAGATGTTCCTCAAAGGAAGAAACAAATGCTGATTAAGACAGAAGGAAACAAAATCTGACTGAGACTGAAGTATGTATATACTGTTAAACTTACAAAAACCAGTCTAAATTGTATCTGAACAGGAAGATAGAAACTGAGAATTCCATCTCCAAACACCATTTGAATCTCTCAAAATGGTTACTGATACTTTGTAAGAATACAAATTATAATAAGATGTGTTATTTTTGTACAAAAAAATTAGGCTTCAATTTGCAAAATAAAACTAAAATAAGGGAATAAAGATCAGGTCAGAAGTTGCAAAGGGGAATCTCTCAGGCCACATTTTAGTCTATATATTTTTGATTCACCCATTTGCAGAAAGTTCAACAGTCTAGATGCTGGCTTCTTTTGGAAATAATGTGAAGCACTACACAATAATGAGACCCCATTTACACAAGGCATGACCCACCGGTACTAGAAAGCACTTGTTTCGTCTATGCTCAGGTGTGCTGTTTGTGTTTCTCTCACCACAACCTTAATCCTCACCTGGTTCCCTCCTTCATGAAGCTTCTAAAAGGCCCTGACAGTTATTTGAGTTTGCATCCTGTGTGTTGAGAGGAAAAACTTAGGTGCTATTCATTTTAATAGAAAGCTCAAAAGTAATGTTTAGTTTCATGCTCAATACTAGATTAATGCAACTTCACTTCTACTTTCAACACCACAGGCATTACCTCTTGACAATGAAATATTTAACATCAAATGCTAGAACAATGTTCTATACTTGACTATAGATTATTTCTAGTTTCGAACAAAACTCAAAACTAAATCTTTCAAGCAATATATCAATCCAGAATGATGAATTACTCCTACATTTACAATAAAAAATCTAGACAGTCAACAAATATGTAATTTCCCATAGTTAAAATTTCATATAAGTTAAAGTACCTTTCTAGTCTTTGTTGTAATACTGTGAGGTAATCTTTAAGTCTCTTGATTTCTTCTCTCTTAATTCTTGTTATTTCTCTGTTTCTATGCATGTATCTATCAGGGGAAAAAAATTATTAACTACTTTCAAAAATTATTTTTGAAATTATTTAGCAATTATTTCAAATTAGTCTCAAATATCTTGGAAGCAGAAACAATCTTCAGTCTAAACATCACAAAGAATCAATTCATTTGAATTTTACAATAAAATATCAGATAATACAAAAGTGTTTTCTAAAATTCAAACAGAATTTTGATTATAAAAATAACTTCATTTTTAAATTTCCTTATAAAATTATTACCAGTAACTATACTTTTCTAATATAACATGAGCTCTAAATTTTCCTTGTTAAATGGTATCAGACATCATGCAAAAGATTTATTCTAAGAAAATAAATATTTTTTCCTATAAAAACAATAAATTCTTCATTTGCTTATTAAAACTATTAAGAATCTAAGTCATGTTGTACAGTAAACCATACCTGTCCAAATATAAAACCTGAGGAAATTCTAATTTGTTGTGAATTTTTTCTGGTCTTCCCAATGCTTGATTAAATTCAAATCTTGATAACTCAAATGTTAACACAGGTGGTAGTTCTGTAAACCAATGCTGAAAGACAACAAAACAAACAAAAAACTTCATATCAAGTTTCTGTTTTCTCCACTGAAATTTTAGACACAGCAAATTGACACTAACATTTTTATGCACACCATCACATCTCTGACATCACAAAGAACTGAGTACAAAATTTAGTTTAAACTCAACTTCTTCCTAAGTTTTCCACACCTTTTAAAAATTCCAAGAGTGGGTATTACTCATAATCAGTAAAGAGAAAAATCTTCTAACAACCATCTTTCTTCCAAGATAATTCATTACATTAGAAATTCTAACCCAAAGAAAAAAACAGTAGTTAAAACCAAAGCTTAGTAACAAGTCTTCCATCTTTAGCAGTATATTGAAAGTATTATACTTTATTCACCCACAATGTCAATTGACAACTATTGAATGAAACATAAACTTCAATCAAATTTCATTCTGTTTTAATGCTGAATAGAATTCCATTGTGTGTGTGTGTGTGTGTGTGTGTGTATCACATTTTCGTTATCCATTCATCTACTGAAGGGCATCCACTATTGTGAATTGTGCTGCTATAAACATTGATATGGCTGTGTCCCTGTAGCATGCTGTTTTTAAGTCCTGTGGGTACAGACTGAGGAGTGGGATAGCTGGATCAAATGGTGGTTCCATTCTGAGTTTTCCAAGGAATCTCCATACTGCTTTCTGCATTGGCTGCACCAGTTTGTAGTCCCACCTGCAATAAATGATTCTGCCTTTTTCCCCACATCCTTACCAACACTTATTGTTGTTTGTATTCTTAATAGCTGCTCTTCTGACTGAAGTGAAATGAAATCTTAAGAGTGGTTTCAATTTGCATTTCTCTATTTGCTAGAGATGTTGAATATTTCTTCATATATTTGTTGATTGATTGTATATAATCTTCTGAGAAGTGTCTGTTCAATTTCTTGGCCCATTTATTGATTGGGTTATTTGTTCATTTGGTGTCATATATAACAAATTAGAATAAAAACATCTCAACCAAATTTCATATAAAATTTGTTTTTATATAATGGTTTCAAGTTTTATATAAACATATTATTTACATAAAGAGAAAGAAAATTTATTTATTTAATATATAACAGAAATTTATTTATTTAATATATATATTATTTATTTAGTATATATTAAATATATAACAATATATTTAATATATATTTATGTATTAAATATATTTATTTATTTAATATATAAATATATGATATATATTTATTTAATATATAATACATTTATTTATTTAATATAGTATAAATATTTATTTAATTAATGTATATATGCTGTTTTTAAGTCCTTTGAGTATAGACCGAGGAGAGGGATAGCTGGGTCAAATGGGGGCTCCATTTTCAATTTTCCAAAGGAAATTTTTAAAACTTGCAAATCAAGAAATTCAGAAGTAAAGCATCATGTAACAAATACTTTTGAATCACTTATTTCTATAAGCCTTGCAATATGCTACTATAAAAAGAAATTGCTGCATATATTTTACCATGTATGATGATTTCAAGTGGCACAAAATACCACCACACATCCATCAATAAACTAAGAACATATTAACTTAAATTTGAATATCTAAAAACAGGAAATGATACACACCTGGCAATCTGAAATGACTAGGATCTGAAAAACTACTTTTTAAAATTAAAGCTAATAAAATAAATGGTTATTCAATATTATTTCTCCCTCCAAAATTGCAACTAATTAGCTGAACTGAGATTTCCTGAATTGAATATAGGTTATTTTTTACCCAAAGTCAAGATTTAAGAAATTTCCTATAAGGATAGTACCTAAAATGGAGTAGATAAATATTGTGAAAGATCTAATATTAAAAACATTTGAAGTTTAAAATTTGACAAGAAAGTGTTCTACTTATTTTGATCTTCCTTGTCACTGGCAAGAATGTTTGAGTTACTTCATATTCACAACCATAAGTACTGTAAAATTTTAAAACATTACATCATATATCTCATAAATAAAACTTTTGACCTCTTAGCATAATATTCCATACTCAATTTTATGATATTCATGCAAGTCTACTTCAAGAACTGTTACTTTCACATTTTATCATAATACTTAAGTGTCACCATTAAAATTGAATAGTTGCACATTTTAATTCATGTGAATCTACAATGACTGAGAGAAATAAAATGACCCAAATTGTGGCAAGTTGTTCTCTAAGACATAAAGTCTAGGAAACATAATTAGCTTCTATACCTCACACAAAAGGATGTAATAGTTCGTTATGAAAGCATTTCCTCATCAATAAATGGGATGGTATCAGCCAAAAATTTCTTCATAGCAAAGGAAACAATCAAGAGTATAAAGAGAGGGCCTACAGAATAGCAGAAAATCTTTGCCACCTGTACTACAGATAGATATAAAAACTCAAAAAAATAACCATAAACAACAACAAAAAGCGAATAATCTCATCAATAAATGGGCAAAAGAATTAAACAGACAATTCATAGAAAAAGAAATACAATCAGTCAACAAATATATGAAGAAATGTTCAATATATTTGGCAATTAGAGAAATGCAAATCAAAATTGCACTAAGATTCCACCTCACTCCAGTCAGAATGGCAATTATCAAGAATATAAGCAACAATAAATGTTGACGAAGATATTGAGGAGGAAAAGTACACTCATACATTGCTGGTGGAACTGCAAATTGGTGCAACTTCTCTGGAAAGCAGTATGGAGATTCCTCAGAACACCTGGAATGGAATCACCATTGGACCCAGTTATTCCACTCCACTATACCCAAAGGACTTAAAATCATCATAATAGAGCAATACAACCACACCAATGTTTACAGCAGCTCAATTCACAATAGCTGTTAGGGAACCAATCTAGGTACCCTTCAACAGATTAATGGATAAAGAAAATGTGGAATATTAGTCATTAAAAAACAACTATGATTTCTGCTGGTGAATGGATGGAACTGGAGTCTATTATGCTAAGTGAAATAAGCCAACCCCTCCCCCTCTCAAAAAAAAAAAGGCTGCATGATCTCTCTGATATGTGGATGCTAACACACAACAGGGTAGGGGATAAGAATAGCAATTCACTGGATTAGACAAAGGGGGGTGAAGGGAAGGGAGAGAGGATGGGTACAGGAAAAAGAATAGAATGAATCGGACATACCTTTCCTACCCTTATATCAGAATACATGACCAGTGTAACTCCACATCATGTACAACCACAAGAATGGGATCCTAATTAGAATTAGCTATACTCTATGTAATGTATAGTATGTCAAAATATACTCTACTGTAATATATATCTGAAAAGAACAAATTAAAAATTTAAAAAAAATTAAATTAGAAAAGTAGTTTGTGAGAACAACCATGCTCAGAATAACTATGTTTTTGTCAGTGATGGACTGCATGTATGAGAGTGGTCCTGTAAGATCATAATAGAACTTAAAACTTCCTGTCACCTCATGATGTCCTAGTGCAAGGCATTACTGATACATCTGTAGTCCAAACTGGCATGAACAGACCTGCATTGCTAGTCAATTAAACTATACCATATATAACTATGTACAGAACATAATACTTAATGACAATAAATGTTACTCACTTCTGTATTTACTACACTAGTTTCTATAATTATTTTAGAGTATGTTTCCTCTACTTATTTAAATAAAATAAAAAACAAAATAAAATAAACCTTTACCGCAAAACAGTATGTCATTCATTATATTCTGGCAGCACCCTCAAGTACCACATTTATCTCAGATATCTCATTTTATTGTGTCTCTTGATTCATGGTACAAGAAGCCATGACAAGTGATTGATCTAGACCATGCAGGTTTGTGTAGGTGTGCTGTTATTCATATAATGACAAAATTCCCAAGGATAAATTTCTCAGAATGTGTCACCAGAGTTAAGAGACACAGGGCTGTAGTTATATTTCATATAACCATTTTAAATTCATTCAGTAAGCTTATTTAGTATATCATTCCAGAAATTTAAAATTCATAACCCATTGAATGTTTTAACTTAAGTAATTTTAGACACTGGAGCCCTTCCTATATTAGTCGTCTGCAGCCACTTCAACAAAAAAAGATTTTTGTGTGTTTGCCAAAGTAAAATCATCTTTTAGGAAATATTAAGTAAGAAGAAAAAGCTTTTATTCACAGGAATTATACCAATTTAATATAGTCCATAATTTTAAATAATTAAAATTATTTAAAAATTCAACACAATATTAGTTAAAATAATTTAAAATTTTATTTAAATATTTTGGTTTGAATATTTTTCTTGGTTTGTTTGAGTATGTGGTATTAAGAAAGATCAATGGTTTCATGAAGAATAAAATACTTTGAAGAGATAATGAAATATAAACTAATTTAAATATTAATAAAAAAGATAGTAAAGCCAGGCGTGGTGGCACACACCAGTAATCCCAACAGTTCAAGAGACTGAGGCAGGAGGATTTCGAGTTCAAAGCTAGCCTCAGCAATGAGGCGCTAAGCAACTCAGTGAGACCCTGTCTCAAAATAAAACATGAAACAGGGCTTGTGGTTCTGTGGTCGAGTGCCTCTGAAGTCAATCCCTGGTACCAAAAATATAAATAAATAAAAGATATTAAACTCTAGTCTATGATAGTCTCTTAAAACAAGTTGAATTAAGAAAACTATTATCTCTAACAAATCTAGACAACTGATAACAGGGATCATAGTTAACCAAATTTGCTGTTATTGAGATTGTTTTCAGACTGCTAATTCAGAGAAAACGACAAACCATTGAATTCCTTAGGTGAGATGGAAAAACCAGACAGAAAATACACATTGGACTATACAGCATTTAGAGTATAAAGCCAGTAAAATGATGGAGAATAAAAACAACATGTGTTGGAGAAAAAATAGACTTCAGATTCTATGTAAAAATAATCAATTTTTATTTAAAAAATATAAATATGTGAGGAAGATTATTTAACAATAGAACATAGTATATTTCACTTAAAACTACTCTGCCAATATAAGGAAAAATGCCGTCCATGTCCTTATGCCGCAAACTCATTACCCTTTTATTTAACAGCAAACAGGAAAGATTTCTGGGGATCTATTTTCTTTTTTCCACAATGAGAACTGCAAAAGCTATGAATTTAAATTTCTGGAATGATATACTAAATAAACTTACTGAATAAGTTAAAAATTGTTATATGCAATATAACTACAGCCATGTGTCCCTAACACATTCTGAGAAATTTATTGTCTAAAATTGTCTAAACTTACAATTTAGACAAATGCCATTTATTCTCAAATAAACAAGAACCCAAGACTTTCTTAAATAAACAGAGATATTATTACTTAATATTTAATTACTAAACACCTGCCTATTCATTATAAAGACCTTAGATTCTTTTTGCTAAGCATGACCCTGCATACTTACAATGTGATTCTATCTGCAGTCACCACATTACCCACTAAGGATACAATAGTGAACCACAGAGATAAACATATATACACTCCTGCATGGAATTTACATCTAGACAACTATCCGTCACTGTTTCACTCTGTAGCACAAGGACTGATTGCCGGGCACATGATCTGCATTTTGTTTTCTATTATAGTGTCAACACTCCCCAACAGATAAAATATGTGAATGGATAGATACAGAGATGGTGCTGAAGAAAGATAGAGAAACAAAGAAAGGTGGAGAGAAACAAACCAGGGGAGACAAATAAAAGGTTTGTGTTTTTTTTTAATCACTTCTTTCTTGAGAAAGTAAGTTTTTCCATTAGACTTTATGCAATCAGCAATTTTACAAAAAACGGAGTATTTCCTATGTAAGACTGAATAAATGCCAACAATATTTGATAATAGTAATATACACCTCTAGAAAAATCTACCCTAATATCAATGTTTTTCTTTTTTTAACATGTAGGACTAACATACTGCTAATGGCTAGCATCTTGACTAAAAAAACATATAAAGATGGGTTTTTAACAACAAAATAAATTTATTGAGATAAGTTTAAGTGATAATTTTACATAGATTCATAGTTGAAATTGTGAAATAATTTCCACATATGTCTAAGTTACCAAAATTAAACCCAAACACATTTTTTTCTGAGTATTTTCTCCATTATTAGTAATTGTTAGAACCTTAAATTGTGCTTTATGTCATTTTAAGAAAGACCTGGAGAAGTATGGAGATACTGAAAATGCTAAGCTCACCTCTTGGCCTGATTTTCCTGAATTCTCTGAATGTAGAGACTCAATTTCTCCTTCAATCATTGCAGCTTCTAGGCACTCATGCAGATCTTTGAACCCATTGACCTGAAGTGGATACTGACCAAACATTTCAGTGTTTTCAAATTTTTTACCTATAGAAAGGAGAAAAGTTAATTAAATTAATCTTGTCAACACAGTTTTTCAGCTACTAAAGTAAATGTATATACGGAATCTTTACCTGTAAAAGTGATTTGATTATATTACAGAGAATAAAGAATTATTATAAATTTTCCTATTGGTTATACATATATACATGTACACACAATATATATAAACTCTTGTAAAAAGCACCATCTCAGGACAAGAAACTATAAATACTGAGCATACAACACGTAGCAGTGAGGAAGAGATAGGGTCCTGAGTTGAAGAAACTCTGTTTTGTTTGAAAGATACTATATATGTTAACTGCTCATATACTATAAGCCAATTATTGCTTATTATTATAGATATTATTAAAAATATAGATATTATTAAAAATATAGAGATATTAAAAAATATTGCTTATTATTATAGATATTATTAAAAATATGAGAGGGCATAGAAGGAGAGCTAACCTAGTCCTATAAGGTAGAGGAAAGACATTGGTGGCAAAGTGACTTTAAGCTTCCACAGTGAGTGGAAGTTAGCCAGGCCAGAGTGGGGTAGATGGCTAGCAAGTATTCTTGTCCAGGGAATAAGCATGGCAAAGACTTTAAAGCTATAGAGAACTTGGCCTACTTAAGGAACCAAAGCAAAGCCAGTACAGCTTGGGAAAACAAGAGGATAGCAATGAAAAATCCAGTAGGCTTAAAATTTACAAGGTTGCATAGTGCTACTAAGAAATTTTTTCACTATATTCAGAATATATCAAGAAGTCATTGAACAGTTAAATATAGGAATAACAGAATCAGATCTATGTCTTGAAATACCTTTCTAGCCTCTTTGCCAAGTGGGTAACAGACCATTGGGAGACAACTGCAGAATCCACACAGAAATAAAGGTATGTAGATTAGGTGTTGACTTAACCAATTGGCTTGTAAAATGGGAAAGAAGACAGCAGAACAAGGAATTTATCAATAATGACACTCAGATTCCTAGCATGAAGAATCAGATTGATTTTATGAGCTGAAAGTAGTACTACCAAAGGGAGAACAACAACAACAAAAAACCTTTAACAGTTGTTTTGAAGCAGTCATGGAAATCACTGATTCAGAACGGTCCATTGAGACTTCAATGTGAAAGGAGAGCTGGATATATGAATCTGTAACTATTAACAGCCTTGTCTGAAGATATGAATAGCTGGAGAGGTGTTTACTGACTATAAATCAAGGCAGTGGATGCAACTGCTTAAGAATGACATAGGAAGAAAATAGGAACTAAGCTGAGTCCCAAGGACTTTAGATACACAGACAAACTGTAAGCATGGCTTAAGAAGTACTGTATGTAGAACATCAATAACCATAGATCCCTTTTAGAGAAGCTGTGAGCTCAGGAGCTAAAGCAGAAAGGATTGAGTAAATGAGAAGTAAATAGGGAAGCAAACATCATTCTTAAGTAGCTTAACTCCAAACAGGAATGAAAGGGGATTCTGGGGAAAAAGTATGAGAAGGGATTCTTTTTTTTTTTTTTTAATGGTAATATATAAGATATCAGAATGTATCTAAATACTGATAATAAAGACAGAGAAGACGAAGAAGTGAAAGATACTAAGAAAAAGTGAGATTACGAAGTAAGGTCTAAGAGAAAGCATACAGAGATGGAATTCTAAACACATATAACAATGTTCTTTATATAAAACAATATTTCCTTTATTATTTGGTGACCCAGATAAAAAGAATATGGTAGAAGTGGTGATGAATCCTGAAGCTCCTGTATCTGGGCAGTGGTTAAGAAATACCATACAAAATAACAAACAGATATAAACTCAGAGCCTTGAGTAGAACCCACGTCAATTACATTTCATCAGTTTTACAGTAAATCCTTGAAATCTGAGGTGATACGTTTCTAAGAGAATGAAGAGAAAAAGGTGAGTGGAAAGGAGGTAAGTGGAAAAGATGAAAATAGTTACTGCAGAAAACAGGACAGAGATCAGTGATTACACAAAGCCAATAACACTGCCAGGTGGGGTTGCAGATATGAGACCACTGAAGCTCTGTTCGCTCTCCCAGGCACCTTGTCCAAGGTTTTGCTTCTGCACAATCACTACAAATCCATGCTCTGTTTTAACTGGCTAGCAGTTGACTTTTACACAGCAACATTAAGTACTCAGTACCTGAAGAGAAAATATAAATAGCTAAATGAGGGAAAGAGAATAATCAGGGACCACAAAGGAGTGGAGGTAAGACCGTTTTAGGTACCTACAAGAGTGATCTTTTATTTATTTTTTTTATTAGTTGCTCAAACATTACAATGATCTTGACATATCATACACTTGATTCAAATGGGGTATGAATTCTTATTTTTCCATGTGTACAGATGGACAAGGAAGGAAGTGAAGTACGGACCAGGGCCAAGAGGAATGGAATGCAGAGGTCGATGAACTAGAAGTTCTCAAAACATTGAGGAAGGTTTGCAGTGTGAGTGTTTTAGCAAACAAACCCAAAATCACCCGGAAGGAGAAGCAATGGTCCAAAATAAAGCTTTAGGGAAATAACAATGTAAAAATGATGTAATAGTGTAAAAATGATAAGAAAAATGCTCTACAAGTAAACTATCTTTTATTGTAACAGAGTCCAAATGGAAACATATTAAGGCCACATTTATTCAGCACAATAGCTTTGAGCAACTTACTGATACCAAGTACAAAAATTTCAATACTGATTGACAAACTAAGCATTCTAAAAACAATGACCTTTTTGTTTTGTTTTGTTTTTTACTGTGCTGAGAATTGCAGTCTTCCACTGAATTATTTACTTATTCCCAGAACTTTTTATTTCTATTTTGGGACAGGGTCTCACTGTTAAGGCTGGCCTCAAACTTGGGATCCTCCTGCATCAGCCTCCTGAGTTGCTGGGATTATAGGCATGTGCAACCACATTGGGCTTAATAACAATCAGCTGTAAGACCTAATGTAACACAAGTAGAAGCACTCACATAGCATATTAGATACAGTGCCCAGTCTCAACCTGATTGAACCTATTCACCGCTGCAGATAGTGTTCTACTTCACATAAAATCAGAATAGTATAACTGTAATACTGTGTAAAATATTTCACTTTATATAAATTTATATAATAAACATTAGCATTTGAAGTAGACAAAAGTGTTCTAATGTTCTAACAATGTTCTCAGTCTAGCCCTTTAAATGCCTGACTAAAAGCTGACTTAGTAACTTCCTTTTTATGCCTAATTATCAACTTCAAACATAATTTCATGGGAATCCACTACTTAAGAATGTGAAGGAAAAACAATTGTCCAAATTTTATACTTTGGGTGATCCACAAAAACTTTCAAAAGTTGATGGTCTGGGTGATATGAGAAAAACTATTTTTGAAGAATAGTTTTTCCCTTATGGTTTGGGACTTTAAATACTGCTAAATGAAGATATATCTAAATGAGTCTGATTCCCTTACCTTTTTTAAGAAAACCAGCTACTCCCAAATTTTAAGGAATAGGTTATCTAGCATAGAATGAATATTAACATCCTTAACATATTTTTCAAAAGACAGAATTCAATCCTTTCTTGAAAACCAGAATCTAAATAATTTCATAATCACTCAGAAAATGAGAATCCTGCAACACTCTATGCTAAGTTGCTAAATTCAGCTTTCAATATTAAAAAAATTTTAAAAAGGAAAACTTAAAAACTGAGTATCATACCAAGCCTGGCATTCAACTCCATTACATGCTACATATACATTACCTAAAAGGCTTAGGATCAGAAGTGTTTCCGATTTTGGAATATTTACGTAGACATTACCAACAAAGCATCTCCTATCTGAAAATCCCAAATCTAAAATGTTCAAATATCTGAAACTTTTTGAGTGTCATGTCAGTTCCCTACTATCCCATAAATTTCTTCATTTCAATAACTCCCAGGATAAAAGAAGCTCTCTCAGTGGAAAGAACATAAGCATAAAATGAACTACCAATTAGCATGTGAAAATGCACTTTGTACCTTTTCTTTCAATTCTGTGCTCTGTGTAAAAATGATTGGTAGGAGCAATATAAAAGAGACTTTCAGACAGTAAGTCAAATTAAAAGTAAAAATCATTCCACAAATATAGAGTCACTATCAAGACAATCGAACTAATGGATAACAACATCTCTTTTATTTAATAAAAAGCAAACATGTAACTGTACCTTCAAGGACTCCCACGGCTAGGAATCTTCCATAGAACAACTCTACCATAGGGTTCTTTGGCTTCTCTTCATCCCTAAAGCATATTAAAAAATACAAAAGTACTTATAATTCTTGTATCTACAAATAATAGAGAAAACATTAAAATACATGACAAGATGATAACATTTCATTTATGAGGCTATCACTCCACATGGCTCTGTTATTTATCATATGACCTTAGGCAAAGTACTTAAATTTATTCTTCCATTTCTTCTCCTGTCAACTAAGAACCTCATGACACTGTTATAGGGGATAATATGAGCTGCTGCAGGAAACAAACTTAGAAGACAACCTGATAGCCTGTGTTCATGATGAGCTTCCTCATTCTGTTGTCACACATTTCAGTCTTGCAATTTATGACTAAAATATAAGGTTACTTAGACTTCTTGGGAAGTCTTTTAATCAGTACAGATTTCTACAAAATTTTAGAAAGTTCTTTCTACATGTACATAAAAGAGTGCATATAATCTAAAAACAATGGCTCTTACCAAGGAAGACAAAAACACCATATCAGTCAGAGGAACTCAAAGCTACCTCATCCTTTTCTCAAGTTTCATGTTGCTAGCAAATTAGTCTTTTGTTAATTTCCCATATTTTTTAACATGTGAGGTTTGTTTTTATTTTTATTTTTGCTTGAAACAAAAAAAGAAATAACAATTTTTAAATTAACTTTTTAGGTTTGTACTATATGGCCCTGAAAGACAAAGTTGGTCTTGGCCTTATTGTATAAAATGTGTGTTGTAGTCACATATACAAAATTATTCATTAATTATGTATTTAAATGAATACAACTGACTTGTGAAGCACTGTTTTTGAAAAAGGGGGGGGGGGATATTGTGTGCCTCTGGGTAAATGCATTATATGGGTCATCATTTAATATTTAGAATAATGGTAGTAAATCCTTCACTTAATCCTTACAATAATCGAATTAGCACTGGTTGATCTTTAGTGCTATTCAAAATACTTGGTGGGCTCTTCACCTTCAGGTAAATGTAAACGTACCCCCCATATATTTTAATCATTTATATGTAGCCATGAACATATAAGTATACATATTTGTTTCTTTTTCTTCATTTTTAGCATTTTTTTAGGATAGTTATTATTCCTTGTCTTGTCTTTTAAGAGTTAGGTTTTTTGTTTATTTTGGTTTTCTTTTGTTCACTCCTCTTTCCTATTCTGTCCCACAAACAGTAAGATTCTCTTCTCTCTTTCTCTCTTTGTTTTTTTCTATTTTTTTCTCTTCCTTCTATACTCATCACTTGCTACACCTCTTCTGCATTCTCTCTATTCACATTTTGGACATTCTAAACTTTCTTTTACCTCCCTATCACATCTTAATTTCTTTTAATGAACTGTGTTTTTTTTTTAAATTTATTTATTACTTTTAGTTGTAGTTGGACACAATGCTTTTTTAATTTTATTTATTAATCTTTATGTGGTGCTGAGGATAGACCCCAGGGCCTCCCAGGTGCTAGGCGAGCATTCTACTGCTGAGCCATAATCCCAGCTCATTAACTGTATTTTTAGAACAATTTGGTTTATATAACTCCTGCCCAAGCATTCATGCTGTTGCAGTTACTATAAATAGTGTTAGGAGAACTGGTTATCCATATGTAAAAAAATGAAAATAGACCCTTATCTCTTACCCTGAACAAAAATCAACTCAAAATTGATCAAAAACCTAGGAATTATACTAGAAACCATGCAACTCCTAGAAGAGAATACAGATAGGGTCAACACTTCACCATAAAGATGTAGGCAACAACTTTCTCAATAGGACCCCTGAAGATCAGGAAATAATGCCAAGAGTTAATAAATGCAATGATATCAAGTTAAAAAGTTTCTACATTGCAAAGAAAACAATTAAGAATGTGAAAAGAGAACCTATATAATGGAAGAAAATCTTTGCTAGTTATTCTTCTGACAGACAATTCACATCTAGAATATATAAAGAATTCAAAAAACAACATTTAAAAAAACCCAATTAGTAAAAGGGGCAATGAACTAAATACACACTTCTCTAAAGAAACATAAATGGCCAATGAATCTCCCTATAATCAGAATGGCAACCATCAAGAATGCAAACAGTAAACCCTGCATGGTAGCAAATGCCTATAATCCCAGCGGTTCAGAAGGCTGAGGCAGGAGGACTGAAAGTTCAAGGCCAGCCTCAGCAATTTAGTGAAGCCCTAAGCAACTTAAGGACACCTGTCTCAAAATGTTTTTAAAAGGGCAGGAAGAGGCTGAGGATGCAGCTCAGTGGTAAAGTGCCCCTAAGTTCAATCTGCAATACTAAAAATAAAAAATAACAATAATAAATGCTGGAGAAGATGTGGAGAAAAAGGAAAACTTTTACACTGCTGTTGGGATTATAAATTAGTACAATCACTATGGAAGTCAGCATGGACGTTCCTCAAAAGGCTAGGAATAGAACCAATAGACCTAGCAATACCACTCCCTCATCTTTATCCTAAAAAATTAAAGTCACCATACCATAGTGATATATGCATATTCATGTTTATAGCAGCAGAATTCACAATAGCCCAACCTTGGAACCAGCCTAAGTGTCTGGCAACAGATAAATGGATTAAGAAAATGCAATATATACACACAATGGAATTTTACTCAGCCATAAAGAAAAATGAAATTATGTAATTTGCAAGAAAATGGATGGTACTTGAGAACATTATGTTATACAAAATAAGCCAAACTAAGAAAGTCAACGTTCATGTTTTCTCTCATATGTGAAAGCTAGAGAGGAGACAAAAAAAGAAAGATGGCTAGGCATCTCATGACAATCAAAGGGACATTGGGAGAACAGAAGAAGGGAGGAAAAGGAAGGGAAGGGAAGGGAAGGGAAAGGAAAGGGAGGGGAGGGGAAATAATAAAAAATAATATTTGCCAAATTACACTCTGATATTGTGTGAATGTAGGAATATGTAACATCAAATCCCACCATTATGTACAACATAATCCCATTATGCACAAACTTAAAAATATGGGGGAAAAGGGTGACGAGGACCTAAAAATACATCACAAAAAGTAAACAGATAAGGAAGCAAGATCTGAACAATCAAAATACACTTACCCCTTCAGATGGAATAAGAGTTCAGAAACAGTAAATTGGAAGCTATAGACACAAAAAGCAATTGGGAAGTCGTGTACTGGAGAAAGGACACTTCATAAAATACTTACAGAAAATGTGGTAAGATCTGAGAGTAAAAACTATGAATTCCAGGGTAAAACATTCAAAGAAGTACTGAGAGTACCTCAAGGAGATTCTGATGGGAACACAAGTATTATTCATACTCTTAGTGGAACATGTGCAAAGGATTTTTAACATTAGATCTCTAAGGAAAAGTATAAGAAATGTGAGCTTTAAGCCAGAGTGAATAACCACAGAGTAATTCTGCACAAGGTTGTCTTCTTGGTCTAACAGTACAGTAACCCTGGTGGAATTCACCAACCAAGAGAGGTGAAGACGGACAGAGTGTGTTTGAATACTAGATAATTTGGATATCTGAACTCAGATTTCACTAACCTTAATTATGAAGTACCTAACAAAAGAATAGGTATAAGCAAGGAAAAAGCCAAAGTATAAGCAAGAATCAAAGTCATAGAACAAGAAGATCTTCATATCCACCAAGAAGGGATTGTTCTGCATGATTAGCTGTCAAAAATTTAAGCCAAGTCTGCCTAAAAGAAAGGAGGAAAACAAGTGTGCATGCACACGCCCGCACACACACACCATACACATATACATACACACACATACATAAGATATATAAATGTAGCTATACATATATACACTTACATACTATAACACATACACATACACCCAGAAAAAGGTGTAACAGAAAGAAATATACTCAAAGCTTAGTACATTCAGAATGTAAGGAAAACATATATCAAAGAGATAATGATCTTCATGGGATGCTGGGAGTTAGGTTTCAAAAACAGCAAAAGCAAATTCAGTTCAGGAATCTTATGGGGAGATTTTCCAGATGAAACTAAAATAAAAGAGAAGACAGATCAACCTCAGAGGGAGGGTTCACAGGCCCAAACAATTGCACAGCAGTGCTGGTAGCCATCATGGCACAAAAATGAGTTACCATACAAAGTGTTCATTCATTGCAGCAATGACAAAGGACAAACTGGAGCTCCAAAGGAAAATGCAACTTAAGAGTTTTCATGGACAAAAATGAAGGACACTTACTGGTCCAAATTGCCACATCATAAACTTCTAAATAGTCTAGGAGGAAAGTAGACCTCAAATGCCATATTATGTGATAGACAATTTGCAATGAGTGGAATTTTGTCACCTCAGATATTATATACTTGGAGCCAGATTATTCTCTTGAGTAATTTCTTCCAACTTAGTTTAAATTAAGAGAGCTGTCTGCAGTCAACTGGCCTTCAATGACTAGCATCCTGATGGAAGTGAAATTAACATAATTGTCTGAGCTAAGTTTCTGCTACAATCTTTGGTAACAAGGTAACAGACTAGTGTTAATCATATGTATCCTAACAATGCCCTGAAATCTAAAATTAAGGCACGTGTCTGAAATGTAAAATTAAGGTATGTGCAATTCAACATGTGAAGCATGTTATTCACTCTGGCTTAAAGCTCACATTTCTTATACTTTTCCTTAGAGATCTAATGTTAAAAATCCTTTGCACATAATAAATGATTACAGGCTTCAGATTAGAATCAAAACTCTGTTCAGGCATAGAATGACATGCTTGTAGCTAAGACGATACAAAATAAGAAGCTGGGAAATGAGTTATCTTCTTTATGTGACTAGCAATTACAGGGCAAAATACTCTGATTTCTAAGTATAACTTGTCAAATTTTACATTAAAAAGGGGATGTCATATGGAAGCTTAGTATTTCCATGGATTTTGGCAGCAAAGTGGGGGAGCACCTATATTAAAGTTCAGAAGCATGTCTTCGTTATTAATACTGCATGACTAGAATATCTTGAACCTTAATCTCATTGCATATTATGTTACGATGAACTTTATTGGGCTGTAAGAGTATCCATAATTTGAAAATAGGAAAAAAGAAACAGAAGAGAATTTTAAGCATGGGATTTCTCTCTGTGTTCTACGTATTCTACGTATAACTAAATCTGGTAAGGTTCGTGTCAGAGCCTGTGATGACAATCTAAATAGTCCACTGGTGTTCCAAGAAAAAAATTAAGGAACAAACGGTTGATATTTGGAGAATGGCCTAATGAGGGTAGGAACAGGGTTGCCCTAAAAGTACTGACTTCTCTTTCAAGGAGGCCAGTAAAATACTTTAAATAACCAAAGTTTTAATAGTTAAACCTAATGAATAAAGAATAAGTAGTATAGGATACTGAGGAGAAAGTTTATACTCCTGTTCACAGTTTGCCATGTGATAGAACTTTATCAGAGTAATGTCTTTTTAATTTCTCCACCATTAACCCATTACTTTACCACTACTCCTTATGACAAATGATCTTTGAATCTAAGAAAAAGAACTAGATATGTAAGACTGGATCTCTCAAGAACCACTTTGTAGCTCTTCCTGACAAAATTCTGATCTTATATTGGAAAATGAAAGCAACTCAAATTTTGCAATAAATTCCAATTTATCAATAACACAGATAATATTGGGACTCCCACAAGTTTATCTTGGTTTCCTGTTTCTTTGTTGACATGGAATACATATGAGAAAAAGTCCTATTCATTCACCTCCTAAATTCCCATCACTAAACTTTATGGTAACTTACGTCTCCTCTTCAGCTTTCATTTGGAAGGCATCTTCTAACCAATCTAATAATTTGTGTGTAAACTCGCTCACATCTTGCTGTGGAAAGAAAAAAGTCTTGTTGATATTTTAGCCTACTAATAAAAATAATAACTTTTGCAACATAAAACCTATAGCCAGTCACTGAAATGTATAATACCAACTCCACATAAAAGTATCACCAATTCCAATGAACACTGGTAATTTAACATTTAAGGGTATGAAATCATAACTTGAGGGAAAAAACACAATCATTGTTACTAGGTTTCAATATAGGAGAAAAAAATACATATGTGTGTATGGATGTATACACACACACACACACACACACACACATAAAAGCATGCCCAATGGAACTCCGAAGTGAGTCTTTGTAAAATGAAACTCATATTACCAAAGGTTCTTCATTTTATAAAGCATCTTAGAAATAAGAACTTGTGCTTCTTAAGAAATCCGTTTTTTAATTCAACTAATACATACAACTTTTTAAAGCCACAGCCACCTGTACTAGAAGACTTGTTTACTTCAAGAAATTAAGTCCAACTAACCACTAACTCCTCACCAGAGTTCATGATCCTATGAACTTCAAACTGATACTCCATTCAGATCCAGTACATATGTCAATTTTGACACCTCTTTCTTTGATCCTTGCTTTCCTAACATAGAAAAGTAAGAAAAAGTAGTGGCAGATGTACTAATCAACCACCATAACTCTTTGAACAACATGAGCTGGAAGACAGAGGAACAGGTCCACAAAGAACATAAGGGAAGAAAATAAAACAACCCTACTAAGACTGCACAAAAACAGATGAATCAGCACAGGCCACCTGCCTTTACTTATCTAAACAGCCCTAACTATAAAATGGACCATATATATTTTTCCAGCTAGACTTTTTGAAGAGAGTCTAGGTCAATATACTGACCTGAAAAATACTGGCACTAACATCTAGAAGTTAACTGCTTAAGTAAATTGCTCCAGAAACACAGTTAGAGAAGGCTAGCTACACTAGCACAAAAATCCAGTTTCATACATTCACATCATATACAGTGGCCCACCAAATTATATAATTGTTTAAAACCTCAGAATAAGGAATATGGGTCTTTGTAGGTATAATTAAGACAAGAATCTCAAGATGAGATAATGGTGGTAAGAGTAGATTCTAAATCATTGGATTTTTAGAATGGATATTCCTGGGAGAAACAGAAGACCAGACACAGACCCTCCAGATAAAAGGACATTCAAAGACAGACAGAAACTGAAGCTATCCTGCTACAACCCAAGGGACACCAGGAGTCACCAGGAATTGATAATTGGTAGAGGCAAGGAAGGATTTCCCCCTAGAACTGCTGCAGGGTACATGGCTCTGCCAGAACCTTTATTTGGGATCTCCGGCCTCTACAATGAAATAACAATTTTCCTTTTTCTTTCTTTCTTTTCTTTTCTTTTCTTTTTTTTTTTTTTTTTTTTTTTAAGCCACTGGTTTCTGGTGATTTGTTAGAGCGGTCCTAGGAAACTAATCTAACCCTTAAAACAATGTCCATAATTTTCTATAACTTATCTTGACGATTACATTAACAAGGAATGAAAAAGGTTCCTATTTTTCTCAAGTCTTTTGGTAGAAGTTAATCCCCTTTTTAGCAATCAATCTAACTTTCACCAAAAGAAAATAAAACTAGATCTTTATTATTTCATTATTAGTACTTGTAAACTAAAACAAAAGAATGATTAAAATTGATAGTACTACTGCATACCCAAAAGGTCTCCCATAAAGACCCTTAAATATTTCAAAATATGTAATTTAAACATTTAGGAAGAATGTAAAATTCAAGTATATATTCACTTTTTCAAAATAAGGATGATGTACATGTCACTATAGATGTATTCCACTTAGTCATTATATATACTTCAGAGTCAAGAGTTTAAGGGAACAGAAGAGAATCAAACCTTTATCAACTTGAACTGATATGCCTCTACTTTAAAAGAGATAAAAGAATCAACAGCAAGAAAACTAGTCAGTCAACTCAAAGCAAAAACATTCATACTGCAGCATTCAGGAGCATGTAACAGCAGAGCTAACTGTTTCCATTTGGACTCTTAACTCAAACTGGAAAAGCCCCAACTATGTATGGCTCAAAAAGTGTGTATGCTGTGTCATCTTTAAATATGAAAAGACACTCAAATACCACTACATATCTGTGGAAAGCATCAACAAAGAAGGAAGTAAACAAGTAAACAAGGAAAACAAGGGAAAAAGTTAATTCCAGATAAAAAAGAATTTAACAGAATTAATCTGTAAAGTGTCAAAATGTAACTATATATTAAGAGTCACTGGAGAAGAAAGTATACATACTAAAAAAGAAAAGAATGCAACTGAAATAAAGGAATGAATGAATACATAAGTAAAAAATATTCAGAAGAAGTGTCCTTAAAATGGAGGTTTGGGATCAGATCCAGCCATTTCTTTTGGCTTCTGTGTTATGCACATGTAACATGATAGTACATAACACAGATGAAATAATGCTGAACCAAACAGGCAGGGGGCCATCGTTAGAAATGGTTTCAAAAAAGAAAAAAAATCAACAGAAGAAAACTGGATGTGAGACCCTTTCTGTCTGCTGATAATTGCCATACAAGGTGTTATTTTAAAAAGATGGAGAGGGTGTCAACAGGCCAAGCTGGCAGGCAGACTAGAAACACAGTAACAGAATTTCTCAGAGCCTGTCTCCAAATTCCCTTTCCACACATTGACACAGAGATAGATCCAAGGACTATAAAAAGTACACTACAAAAAAAAAAAAAAATGTGGCTTTTTAAGCCTCTTCTCAAATATTATTTCATCATTTGCCCTTTGCTTCAGCACTAGTACCTTTTTCAACGCTCATTATCCCTACCACCTTTTCATTCCTTTTGGTTTTCCTTAATTGCTCTGACTTCTCAATGTGAGAAAATATTGGTTTTTTACAGATATTTCATATTTCTACATGAAAAATCCTCAATAGTATTTTTAACAAATGGATAAATAGCTACTATGATAACACTATTTACACAATGAAACACAAAAAAAAAGTCAAGTTCTTTCAAAAACATTTTCTGAGTAAAGAAAAATTACCTCCTAACAGCAAAAACAGCAACATCAAAAGCATTATACTATACTGACACTGGGTTGTCACAAATTTGTTGAGATTATTTTAATCACAAGTGAACATTCTTCATTTTATCCACTGTTTTCCCTTATCATCTTCAATTATAATATAAATCACAACTTCACTTTTCTTGACACTTCCAAGATCACTTTCCTTTGGTTAATTTAAAAGTAAATCTTCCAAATAAACCATGTTTTAAATAACTCCAGGTTATTTGTAATAAAGCTGAACAACCAATTCTAAATTATTACATATTCTAGTAAAAACTGCTGAAGGACAGATCAGCTTAAATAAAACAGTACAAGAAATCTACCTGCTGTGAGTCATTTGACTTGAAGGCATCCTTAAGAATTTCAACTGCTCTTGATGGATCAACGTATTTCCTTTTGGTACCAACAAGAAGTGCAAATAGATATCTCAGCTCACACATAAAAGGCAAATTCCGATGTTCCTATTGGGGAAAAAAATAATAAGAATCTAAAACCTTAGTGAAGATTAGCAAAATCTTTATAAGTAAACAAATATGTTAATACTAACCAAAATTAGACTAACTAATAAAGATCAGGCATAAATCCAGCATTCTCTATCATATTGAAAGAACAGTTTTGTTACCATCTATAGGACTCAAAAGAGCCACGCATGTAACAGCAGAGGGCCTAGGCTAGGCTCATGATTTCAGAATAAATGCCACATATTCATAGCAAATCATGTAATTACCCAGCCAAGAATATCCTCCTCATTCAAGTCTGTTTATTATAATCCTTCCCATTCATCTAGGCCCAGCTGGTGATGGCAAGAGTAACAGTAACAGCCAGCATTCAATGAGTGCTCACTACATGCCAGGCGCTGCTCTGAGTGCTTTTCCCCAATACAAGCAAATAAGCAAAACCCCCTTCCCTCCTCTACGAAGCCTTTCTAGATGCTTCCAAATTAACAATTCCTGCAAATTCCATTATCTACTGAAATGAACACCCTCCACTACAAATCACCATTGCCACTGCTGTGTGATGACCCTAATTATTATACTACTGTTAGAACCCTTATTAGCAATTTAATAAATATTGTTATTCACATTTATTATTTTATATTTTATAAAATTGCTATACTTATTTTATAACTGAATTACTAAGTATCATGTTTAATATGATTTAATTGTAATAATAATTTTTATTTAATTTTTTAATAAGTACAGTATTAACCTAATGATTAATTTAAGTCAGACTTTTATATGAGGTTAATATATTACCCTCCTGGCAGTCCTTGAAATCTTACTTTCATTCTATATAAGATTCTAAGCTTCTCAAAGATTTCAATATCTCTTCCACAGTTTGCTGCTATACATAGCAAGCATTTAATTCTCACTGATTAAACCAAATCTTCCATGAAAAATAAAAAATACTATCATTCACTAACAATTTTTCTTAAAACTTTTATTTTGTTTGTTTATTTTCTTATGTAGTGCTAAGGATTGAACCCAATGATGCACACATGCTAGGTAGTGCTATACCACTGAACTACAACTGCAGCCCCAGTCACTAACGATTCATTGTTAAACAAGATGAAAGCATGTAATTCACATAAGGTAGTAAAATGAATCATAATAGGTAAGACAAACAATTGTTATAATATTTAGTTCTTGAAGTAGCAATTTTAATACATAAAGCTTGAATATACTACTTAAATCTAAAAAAAAAAAAAAATTCTATGTTTACATAAGAACATTCCAACATTACAAAATTATAGGGGTGTATCTTTCTATAGGTACTGCCCAGAATAATATAATTCATATGGAAATAACTGCTCTCCAGATTGCAATTAAAAAAAAAAAAAACTTCTAAAAAAATAGGTAAAAGGGAATAAAATTCATTCCAAATACTTATCTCTTCATCCAAAAACTACACACCATTAAATTAATCACAAAGTACACTAATTTTGACATAAAAGTGTTAAGTTCTGAGGAACATAGTTTTCATTTAAATATAATAAATTTCATCAACAATAAAGACTAAGAAAACCAATCCATGGTTTGTCTCTGATACTTGCTAATTTCTCATCAACTACCCTATATAAGTAAGTTTGAAAAAAAAAAATTTATTGAATTGAAACAAAATTATTTCCCAAAAAACCCTTAGTTTTCTGACGTTAATTTCTTCATCTTTCAGTGATATCTGGATATCTTTTATCATGAAGCATTTACTCAAGACAAATCAGTTTTTAAATGACATTTCTTATCAAGTCATAAAGAAAGCAATGATTTTTGAAAATTTAGAGAAATTCTGCTGAGGAGCTTATCTGGAAAGTAAAATAGTTTTAACATTGAAAAATTTTTGTCTCAGTCAATTCCTACAGCTAGAAAATCCTTCTCAAGTTTCAAAAGGCAAAAATATAAATGAAGTCAAGAGCAGCTAATTTGGTAAATTATGAAAATATCAATAGAAACCAATTGAACACAACTTTTAGCCTTCGTTTTTTTTTTAAACAGGTTTCTTAAATCATGACTGATGTATAGCTCTGTACATTATCAAGCAGAGAAATCTCCAAGCTTCATTCATGTATGTGTTCATGAAATCATGGCCACAATTTCAAGACAGTACACCTGCCTATCCATCACCCTCCAAAATTTCTTCATCCCTGTCATTCCCTCATCAATTCCATGTGAACAGAGTCATTTCTATTTCACAGGAATTTATACACATGAAACTAAATGCTATAATATTTGTTTTAGGCATGTTTCTTTCAATCAGCTAATTATTTTGAGCCTCATCCATATGATTGTTTGCATTAGTAATTCAATACGTTTTCCTGCTGTGTAGTATTAAATTATGGGGATATTTATCACAACTAATTGATCTATCAGCCTCTTCAACTGCTAGAGATACTGATATGTTTCGGTGTGGATATATATTCTTCCATTTTCCTTTAATGAAAACCTGAAGGGAAATGAGTGGGTTGTATGGCTGATAGCTATCAAACTGTTTTCCATGGAGTTCTAGCTCTGCATTCTATCAACACTTGAATTTGAGCTATCTTATATTTTTGTTTCTTCAAGTGGGTACACAGTGGCATCTGCAGCTTATTCTGTATTTTTTTTAATGACTAGCAATGTTGATTATTTATTTCATGTAGTTTTCTACTCTCTGCATATTTTTATCATGAAGCATTTATTCAAATATTTTCCTCAAAAAAGTAATCAATAATTATTGGTTTTATAAATTATTTTTCTCCCACTCTGTGGCATGCCTTTTCATTTTGCATAAATCTTTCAAAACTTAAAATTAATTTTGATGCCAATTTATCTTTTTTTTTTCTTTTAGGATAAATGCCTTCGTATTGTTCTACTTAAAAAAACCATTGCTTAATCTAAGGACATTAAAATTTTACCCTGTTTTTGTCAAGAATTTTTTTAGTTTTCAGTGGACACAACATCTTTATTTTATTTTTATGTGGTGCTGAGGATCAAACCCAGAGCCCCACCCATGCCAGGCAAGTGTGCTACCGCTTGAGCCACATCCCCAGCCCCATTGTTAAGAATTTTTATGGCTTAAGTTCTTATTTTTAAGAATACAATATGCTCCACTATGGATTATTTTAGGGTCAGGTAAAAATTGAAAATCATTTATTTTATGTTATTTGTGGAAAATACGTATTTTTTTCTCAGTAAATTATTCTGGTAACTTTGACTAACATCTATTTACCTCGTGGGTGGGTCTATTTCCAGGCTTCATTCCGCTCCACTGATCTATGTATTATATTCTGGCCAATAGCACAGTATGCTGATAAGTAATCCTTCCAATATTTTTTGACTTTTATAAATTGTTACTGCTTTTATATATATTGAAATTTCCATACATATCTAGAATCAATCAGCTAATTTCTATAAAAAAAGGATGATGGGATTATGACTGAGCTTACATGACATCTATAGATTAATCTCTCAGGATAACTGATACGGTAACAATATTGAATCCTCCAATTCATGAACATGGTATGTTCTTTTATTCATTTAATTTTTCTCAGCAATATTCTGGCATTTTAAGTTCACAGGTCTTTCCTATTCATATTTTGGCAAATTTCTCCCTAAGTTTTTCATATTTCACATATCACTGTACAGAAGTATTTTTTTAATTTAAATTTCCAATTTTATGTTACTGGTACACAAAAATACAAATGATTTTGTATGTTGACCTTGTACTGTTTGACTTTATTTCTTGTTCTTGGTAAGAAAAATATATATTTTCTTTTTTTGTAAAGTACTTAGAATTTTCAACATAAATAATCCAACCATATAGACAGTTTTGATTTCTTACTTCCCATCTCCATGCCCATTTCTTTTCTTGTTGTATGGCACTGGTTCAGAATTCCAGTCCAAAATTTAAAGTGTTGAAGACTGACATCATGATTGTTGGAAGAAAAGCATTCAGTTTCACCATTAAGTATTATATTACATGTAGATTTTTTTTTTTTTTTGTAATTGGGCTTTATCAGGAGGAGGAAGTTCTTTTCTTCTTCCTAGTTTTAGGTAGACTGCATCATAAGTAAGTGTTAGCTTTTGTCAAATCCTTTTTCTTCATCTATTGAGAAGATTGTATCATTTTCCTTCCTCAATCTGTTAATATGGTGAATTAAATTGACTGATTTTTAAGTAGAAAAACCAATTTTGCATTCCCATATAAACCCCACTTTCTCATGAGATATTATACTTTACATATACTGCAGGATTCAATTTGCCAAAACGCTGCCACTTTTTTCCATATTCATGAACAATACTGATCTCAGTTTTCTCTTCCTAAAATATATTTTTCTCTTCCTAAAATATATTTTACTTTTGATTTCAGGATAATACTAGGCTCCCATAATCTGTTGGGAAGCTTTATCTCTTCTTCAGTTTTCTGTAAAACTTTATAGAGAACTGGTATGTCACTAGTAAGATTATTTAGCTGTTACCAATGATTGAACCTAGGGGTGCTTAATCACTGAGCCACATCCTTGTGCATTTTTTATTTTGAAACAGGATCTCACTAAATTGCTTAGGGCCTCACTAGGTTGGTGAGGCTGGGTTTGAACTCGGAGATCCTCCTATCTCAGCCTCCCAAACTGCTGGGATTAGGCATGTACCATAGTACTCTCGGCAATTGTGAGATTTTTTTCAGTATGATATAGGGTTATCCCATGCTTTTCATTTCTTCATCAGCAAATTTCAATGGATTGTGGCGTTCGAGGTCCTTCTCTTGTTGATAGTAATGCATTATTGTGTGTTTTATATGGATGATGTAATGACATCCTACTTTTCCATTCCTTATATTTGTCATTTACATATTATTCTGCCTTGTTCTTACTCAGTCTATCTAAAAGCTCATCAACTTTACCAATCTTCTCAAAAAGCAGCTTTGGATTCTTTAATTTTTTTCTACTGTTTTTCTGAAAGAGTGATTTCTACTCTTTTATTATTTTCTTTTACATTGAACTTGTAAAACACTCAGTCCCTGTTACTTTGTCATAGTTAAAGACAGGAAATCCCAGAATGCCTCCTTTTTTTTTGTAAAATTAAGGAACACAGTATTGAACTCAACTAAGCACCTTCCCTTCTCTTATAATGATTACCTTCACATGGTGAAAAGTGAGGAAAACATTGTTTATTTGGAAACATTTGCCCTAAATCAAGACATAAATAATATAGGCTAAAAATTAGTAAGCTTTTAGCTCCTTGCACAATAATTTCCACTAAATATTAAGGAGTTAAGTATACTTGTTTTCTCAACATTTAATGTTTTACCATCAGTTTGTAACATTTTTTTGCCAAAAGAGCACTGAAGTGGAGAAGAATGATTGCACTGAGAATCTATATTATTTTTTGGTCACCTCATGATTACCTTATAGTTCAAATGAAAATGAATGTATAATACAGTTTCAATTTCTGTAAGCAATAGGCATATCCACCTAAAGTATTATCTGATTTCCAAATACACTAATGATCTTTTCTTCTCACTTAAGATATACATAATATTTGTGGCAAGCTTTAATAGCCAACAAAAGAAATCCTCTTAGCAATGCACACAAATGACATCTTTCTGATTTGATTAAATTAATTCTAAGTGTATTCATATCTTAACATTTGTTTTCAAGCTCACTGTAGTAGTAGTAAACTTTTTATGAATTAGAAACAAATTCACTATTAAATAAAAAGTGACAAAAGTTACACTGACACCTTTTTAAAACAGTCTTTAATCACCTCAAGTGAATGTAACAAAAATCAGTAATTAATAACTACCTATAATTATCACATTTGCTTCAAAGGTAGCAAATTGTAGTGTGTCCTGTTGTCATGCCAAATTAAAAAATAACTTCATTTATGGAACCATCTTATATAAATTAGTGTCTTTCAGAGAATGAAGTAAGTATTTCAACTCTCTAAGCCAAAGAGACACCAAAGATTCTGATCCTTCCATTGCAAGAAGCAAACTTCTCTAGAAAGAGGCTGAACACACATTTTCCCACCATGTGCTGAACAGGTTCATAACCTCACAACTAGCTCTGGTATGTAACATGGATATAATGATTACTGCTTATATAAGATTACAAACCAACATCATCTTACTATGAAAATAAATTAAAGCTCTGTAAACTATAAAATCCAGGAAATAAAAGGTACAGAAGACATGCAAAAATAAATTAGTGGAAATAATAATTCTAAACAACTCTATACAAATTATATGTATATATACTTCAAGTGAAACATGAGAGCTGTTAATATTAACAAACAACTGTGATAAAGGGAGGCAATAGTTACATGTAAAAACTGTTAATGACAGACAGGTTTGCTTAATTTCTCTGGCAGTGTGATCATTTGCCAAGTGGTCTTAATTCCCTGTTCAAAATTATTTATCAGGCTGACACTTTACAGCCCAGAGATGACAGCCTGAAAAGTTGGCTGTAAATCAAGTTCTATTCCCCCTAGTGTACATAACAAATGTTTCACATACTTTGCAGGAAAAGTGGTTTTAAAAATTAAACACTAAAAGGAAAACATAATTTATTAATTTATAACTACCACAACAGTTCACACAAAGTTCAGCACTTTACTGAAGTCTAAAACTTTACCTTCTCTGCCTAAATCCAGTGCATTTCAGGACTAGGGACTCTTTATAGCAAGATCACTAAAGCCCAGCACTTAAGCATATCATCACCACAGTCAATATTCTGTCTATTAAATATGAATGTCTGCTTGCAAATCAGTCCTATTTTTTTAATTTCTATTTTTAAAAAAATTACTATCAACTCATAATTGCTAATACCTAATACACTTACTGTATAACAGGCACTTTTATGCCTTTTATATGTTTTACCTCATTTAATCCCCAGAGCAACTCCATGAAATAACTACTGTTATTATTACACTCTGTAGAGGAAAGTGCACAGAGAGAACAAGTGACTTGCCTTAGGTCCACAGCTAGAAGCCAGGCAAGGTAACTCCAATATCATGTTCTCTTATTTTGTATTGCCTAATATTAACTTCAAAAAACAAACAAAAAAAAGAAAGTAAAGATTTGTACTGCAAAGTTTAAATTTTATTTTTTAAAGAACTCAAAACAACTGAAAAGAAAATGATTTTCACACAATTTTTCAGGAAAAAACTGATGAAAGATCTTAAATTATCAATTATACCCTATTAAGAAATTTGACAATCTGAAAAATTAGAAAAAGTTAATAAACTGACCCAAAAAATTGGCATTTAACTGTTGACGTATAGGTGAAGAAAAAGTCATATTTACAATATACTAACAAAGGATGATAAGTTATTATGGTAGAAATTAATGAGTTGACATTCAAATTCGAACAGTTTCAGATCTGATGAAGCAAATAAATGCCCCAAAGCAATAATAAATGATAGAATATAAAAAAGCACAGGTACTCTGTTGAAAGATCTTTTATAATTTTACCTTTTGGTTTCGGGGTAAATCTTGAGCATTTGATGGAGGTTTGTAATTCAGAACTAATCTTCTAAATTCCAAAAGATTGAATAATGACTGAAAAAGAACAACAATTTAAGATAGGAGAAATTCTATAAATAGAATTGTAAAATTGGTGTCCAAAGACTTATTTTTGACAACTCTACTGCTAATATACAACTGTTGCAACTAGCATAAGGCAGCCTATTTTCTCCCTGAGAAAGTCTCATTTCTTATATTCTGATATACTTGATAATTAGCAATATTTAATCTACTGTGAATCAAAAAACTATTCAAGTACAATGTAAAAAAAATATTTAAAGTTGTTATTAGTATATACATATTACTATATATACATATATATGCACATATATGTGTGTATATATATATATAAATATATATATAAATATATATATAAATATATATATATATATATATATATATATAGAGAGAGAGAGAGAGAGAGAGAGAGATGTTTCCTCAAAATAAAAGATGTACAATAAGTAAAGAAACTTTGTAGACATTCTATGTTCGTTAAGAATTACCTAGAAAACCTGAGTACAAACAAATTTATTCCACAGATGCTAGGTGACAGACACACAAAAAGATGTTTATTATCTCTATGCCCAAGAAAGGAGGCAAACACATAAATTTAACAATAGAAATATAACTCCATGGTGCTGATCATTCTGAGAGTATAATGAGAACAGATGAAAAATGTTCATAAAAAGGAGAAGTATTCAACAGCTCTTTATAACCTATCATTATGTCATCTTAATAAACATTTATTTAACAATGATTTTTAAAAATGGAAAATATCAGCATTATACCAAATAAATTCACATTATTTTTTTTATAAATTTTTTAATGGTAGATGTTTTACTAACATGAATAAACTGTCTTACAACATAAACTATATTTCTTTCTTGAGTCATAGCTTTTTAAGTTTGAAAATTACTGTACATAAAATCATGTATAGAATTTTATAAAAGATGAATTAGCCTATTTGACAGAATATAAGGTAGTGGCACGAATCAAAGGAAAAACAAACAGTTGGTTATTGGAAAAACTGGATCACTACATATAAGGAAATGGAGCTAGACAAATGGATGGACTAAAGACCAAAATATGAAAGATAAAACCAGTTTCTGATAGCAGAAACTATAGAAAAATATTTGACCACCTTGTAATCTGGAAGGATTTCTTAATTACACATTATGAGTACATGAAATAAATAATTTTTTTTTCTCTTTGAAATGAGGTTGTCCAGACTGGTCTCAAACTCCTTGTCTCAAGTGATCTCCCACCTCAGCCTCCTTAGCAGCTAGGTCCAGGTGCTTACCACCATTTTTAGCTTATTTATTCATTCTTTTAATAAATATTTAAAGTACACTGCTGTGGTTTGGATATGAGGTATTCCCCAAAATTTCCTGTTTTATTGTTGGGATATTCAGAGGTGAAATGATAAGGTTGTGAGAACTGTAACCTACTTAGTGGATTAATCCATTTGATGGATTAATAATTTGGAAGGACTATTGTACTAGGTGATGGTTAACTACAAGCAGATGGGGAGTAGCTGGAGGAAGTGGGTCACTATGGAATGTGCTTTGGGGTTTACATTTCCTGCCTCCCTCTCTGCTTCCTAGATACCATGAAGTGAGCAGAATTCCTCCATTATACCCTTATACCATTATATTCTGCCTCATCTCAGGCCTAGAACAAAGGAGCCAGAAGACCATGGACTGAACTTCTGAAACCATGAGCCCAAAACAAACTTGTCCCCCATAAATTGTTTTGTCAATTATTTAGATCATTGCAACAAAAAAACTAACATAAGCTGGACACTAGGAATAGCAGAGAATAAAAAAATATATAGTCTCTGCCCTTGTGAAGATTATAATCTTAAAACTGCAGGTTAAAACAATGACACTATATGTTATAAAGGAGAAAGGATATGAATACAGTAACAATAGATCAAGATCGTGTAAAAGTAATTAGAGCAAATTTTAAAAAACAAAAAAAATCTTAAAAAAAAAGATGAGAATCTTTGAGAAAAGGCAGGATTTTAAAGCTGGTAGGTGAGGAGAAGTTTGAAAAAGACTTAAGTATGAACAGTAAAAAAATCAGAAGAGAAAGGGGAAGAGAAAAAGCAGGGTTTTCAATCATTAGCTGTGTATCACAATAACGTGTGAAGCTTTATTTATTTTATTTTTTTAATTTTTAACTTGTGGAACTTTAAAAAATGCCATTTTCAGGGATATCTCGGTAAAGATTTAAAATACTAAAAAAGACTCTGATGTATCATCAAATAATCAATGGCGTATCTCAAGGACAAGATATGCAATATCACTGAAGTAAGGCAGGAGATAACCTTTGGCAATGAGGGAGTCACCTTTTCAGTATAGTGGTGAAGAAAGAAGAGGTGCAATGAGAATGGGAGAGATGGAACAAAAATAAGGGGGGCAAAGTATGAACTATCCTTCCAAGGAATTTAAAAAGGAAAGATACTGGCAAAATAGGAGGATCCCAACACTACTTTGATATTCTGAGCTCCCATTGGAGAACATTTTCTTTGTTTCTGAACACCGTTAGAATTTTGTTTGGTGTAGCTCTGAAGAACATTTCAGCCTCTGCTTGATAGAAAATGGTACATTCTTCACTTCTGAAGATTTCTACTGAGCCAGAAATCTAAATGGCCATTTAATTTTTTCCAGCACTTTAAAGACATCATTTCTGTTGAAAATTCAGTTGGTGACATTGGCTCCTTTATAGACGCGTTGGATCTTTTTCTATCTCATTACTCTGTGATTTTCTCTTTGTAGTTTTTTTTTTTTTTTTTTCCGTTTTATTATGATGTACATTGGTGCAGTATTCTTTGTTTCTACTATTTGGTTCCTGTTGCTTCCTGAAGCTATGGTTTGATCTCTCTTTCAGGTTTAGAATATTCTCAGTCATCTTCTCTTCAAATATTATATTTTCATTGTGCCTTCTACTCTCCCTCTGGAACTACATTATGTTTGTACTATTCATTACGTCCAATATCTAAAGATATGCTCTTATCTTTATTTCATGGCTTTATTCTGAAAATATTCTTCAGACCAATTGTCTAGTTAACTAATACTCTCTTTAGTTGCACCTGATATACACTGTTCAATTCACCCATTGATTTATTTCCTGTATTATAATTTTCTATGCTAGAATGTCCATTTTGTTAGTTTTTTAGTTTAATGTCAAAATTCTCAATCTTGTTTTTAATTCTTTGATGATAGTAAGTACATTATTATAACTAACAATCTTCTGGTTTCCATATAAGTATATTTCTATCATCCAACTTTTTCTTTTTATTCTCCCTTATTTTCTGGTATGGCTGATTTGAGTGCTAAATATTGCATGCAAAAACTCAAAATATTACATAATATCTTCTAACACAGAGTTTTACATATGCTTCTAAAAGCTAGACTGGACTCACTTGCAATCCCAAATTACCTTAATTTGATAAAATATGCGATTATTTGAAGCTGTACGACTCAGAAACTAAAAAGCCTAAATACTCTCAGTTTTCAGTCAATTGAAGGCTCTCCACTTTAAGAATTCTAACTGAAAGTCTGAGGTGTTCACTAAGACTCCAAATCTGTGAAAAATTTAGCTTATCATCTACTCAGCAGCAACTTCTGGAAATGCCTTAAAGATCAGGTCAGTCAAAAATCAACTGAGTGGATACTGTATCATTTTCAAAATTTGTAGAAAATATACCAAAGAGTGACTATTTTAAACTTGTTTTGGAACTATGTTGGGAGATAAAACAAAAATAATTGTAGGCAAGTGAAATAAAAGAACTAACTACTCATCTGCCTCAGTAGAAAACCAAGTCAAATAGAAAAGTAAAGATAACAGAAGAAAACAAGAATGGCTATAGATGTCTTCAAGAAGCAAAGGGCTATGAGACAGCAAGATCTGGGGCTATTCCAATGTGTCAGACAATATTAGCATGCGCTGACATTTAACATAGCCCAGCTGTGCCTTCTGCTCTCAGGATGCTTGTACTTCAATCAGGAATTACATGACTTATAAGGCTGGAGTTATGTGATTCACCTAGTGTTATATGATAAACCTGGAGTTATGGTTATTTGTATATGCTTTACTATCTACCCTGCAATTCTTTCTAAATACAGTCTCCTAGGTACAATCCTTCTTTACTATCTACCCTACAATCCTTTCTAAATACAATCTTCTAGATACAATCCTTCTTTACTATCTACCCTACAATCTTTCTAAGTATAAAAGACTTTAAGATGTGCCAACACATCTACAATAGGAGTAAACTGAGACTAACTCAGGCAAACTGAGAGGCATGAGCACTTTACTTCTGGGCATCTCAGAGGGATCCAAATGAGACAGGTGCTAAAGTCATCAAGAGTGGATTCACTACTTAACTAAACACCCCAGATATAGGGAGGACAATACACCTCTAAATGCCTATCTCTGATACACTAGTAAGAGAAGCAGGTATAATTAATATTTTCTACATAAAAGTTCCAGTTGAACAGAACAGAAACAATTTTGATTAGATAGGGGTTTGATAGCCAAACTGAAATCACAAAAATATTACTAGAACCCAAAGATTTAAGCCCATTCTCAGTACAATCTCCAGTTTGTTTGTACTCCCTTTCTGACATTGTTTCCCTATTCTAAAACTTTGGTACCAGTAGCTAAGGAATAAGTATATACAGTTATACGTTTTGTAGCCTACTCCAGCTACCTACTTTGAAGTTAGAGGTTTATATTTCCAGTAAACATCTGGAATTGGTAAATATACTCACAAGGAAAAGAATACCTAGTGTTTCATATAAGTCCTGCCAACTAAGTAAGTTCCACACAAGAAAATTCTATAAAATCAAACTTTACTATCCAAATCATAATTTGAAACAAATTCCAAGTCTTCAGAAATCAAAACAAATAAATACTAATGCAAGTTTTCTGCTCAACTTCCCTTTAATAAGTGAAAATTTCCATTTATGATAAGCTGTCACATCTCTTTATATCTGAGAATAATGTGAAAAGAAAAAAAGATATAGTCACTAAAGAAAAATAAAAAGATACTTAAAATAGTATAAGAGTTGGAAAAAAAAAAAACTTCAAGTGATCTAGACAAACTTTTATGGCCCACCCATAATTTTTCTAAAATCTGACAATGTTTTTCCAGGTTCCAAAAACTCACTATCTTTTTAGGGCACTATAACCCAAACTTAATGTTAAAAGATTACTTCTTCTATTTGCTGAAATTTATCACAAAAATAAAGAATATCAATTACGTATACTTGCCTTTTAGATAAAAATTTAAAGCTAGTAAAATTACCAGTTTTAATAAACTCGCAGGTAAGAAGACAAGCAATGTTTTTCTAGTCCATTCCCTCCAACCAAAACAAGAACCCAAAAAAACCCACCAAAAATTTGAAATGTAAAACAAAATCTAAGGTAAAAATAGATGGATTATTCTACCAAGTGTGAAAGAAGACAGTGGAAAGTGTTTATCCTATAAAAATAAAAGGAGATCATTCCTAAATCTATTAATAATTTAATTATCACCTCAAGAAGGACTTTCCTATAAATATGATATTAAAAAATCCCTATTCTAACTAATGTATATTGATTGTTTGCAAGTATTTTCTTTTCTCTTGTACTTTTTAAAGAAAAACTTCTAATCACTGAGCCTCAACTGTTGGCTGTTAATTGCACTGGGAAAACAACCATTTGTCAAATACAGGCAGCAAAACATATTCATAAAAAATCAGATCACAGCCTTAAAACTATATTGCATGTTTTAAAATGAATTTTAAACTATGAAATGTACAAAACCTTAATTAAAAAAAGAACAAAAATTCTCATTAGGAACTCTAAAAAATAAGATACAATTCAATTTCTAAAAACAACACAAAAATTTTAAGAATACAAAAAATTAAATATACGCAACTACTCAAGAGATTGTTTTAAGTTTTGTAATCTTATTATCAATGTCAACAGAGAATGGTAAAAAATTATGACAACTGTCATTATCAGAAAAAAAAAGTTTTTAAAAAATCAAAGTAATCAGGTAAATACATTATAAAGAAAATTTTTCAAAATTGAGAAAATCATGGATGTCTACACATACAAATATCTTGTATTTTAGAAAAAGTTACAGAACTTTACTAAGGGTAAAGTTTTACTACAGGTTTTCTAAGTTTAAAAGAAAACATGTTATTCTTGATTTATTGTTATTTATTTTTCACATTTTACATTTTTTACATTTTCCTAATATGCACTGAAAATAACTTATTTGTAAATCTATGCCAACCTCAAATAAAATACCTCTTCATATTGAAAAAAATTATTTAAATGAGTAAAATACTATGAATAACAGTTTCCCAGTATATCCAAATAAATCCAACCAGACCCACAAAAGCCAATTGTGGGTATCTTGATTGTAATGCTTCCCTAAATCTGCAAGGAAATATATACAAAAAATTTTCTTCCCACCCCTACAGCAATTCCTAAGATCAAGGAAGGAGAAGTACATAAGTAGTAGTCTACTGCTAAAGCTCCACATTGGGTCTGGGGATGTAGCAAAGTTTGAGAGCATTTGCCAAGCATGCAGGAGGCGCTGGGTTTGATCCCACCACCAAAAGAGAAACACACACACACACACACACACACACATACACACACACAAACACACAGAGTGGAGAGAAGTGAAGGGATACTACAATCCCCAAACTAATTTACAGACAAGAGCATATTAAAACCTTGCTTTCCCTTGTGTTTAACACAATCTAAAAGAACACAATCCCAGCCCACTTTCAGTTCTATCATGGCCACCAAAAAAAAAAGAAATGAATAAAAGATACTTACCTGAATAACAGCACTAAACCAACAAGTATTGCCAACATTTTTTAGCCCAACAGGAGCTTTGTCCTGCCTTTTTCTATCATAAGGGTTTCGAGAATCCCTCCAAACTTCTGCAGGGGTCCTCTTCAAACATGCTTTATTTTCTGCTATGCTGGCTTCAAGAACTCTTAAGCAAAGAGAGAAGATGATTAAAAAAAAAAAAAAGGTATTATATAATCTATAGCCTAAGCAAAAGCATAATACCATAAACTTTTAAGCATTTTGATGCTACTCAAACTCTGGATAACGTGCCTGGGGAAGTAACAGTTAATGCTAACTTTACTCAGGCAAAGGTTAGTTTTCTTGAAAAGGCATAGTGGTGGCAATGCCAACAGACCACGTGCAGATTTTTTTTTCCCCAAGAAAAAGAAAATTTCAAACTCAAAAAGATAGTACTATGCAACAAAAAGCATATTATATTGTGTTTCAAAAAATTAATGGCTTAACACCAGGAATATATCACCTAGATAAATCTTCTGAGCAATCACTGAACTAAAGTACATATTTACAATATAATAACAACTTTTTATAACAATTAATCTGAATCATCACAAAAATAAAAACTAAACAAACTACACTTTTACCTCTCTATTAAAAAAAAAGATAAATAAGACAAATTATCATGTTCCTTTCAGCTCTAAAAATCTCTGTAACTCTGTGACAGCTAAATAAAGAAAAAGAAAACATGTGGTCACTTATTAACCCAAAAGTTACTTATTAACCTTTCCAAAATAAACTCACCTATGGAATATGTTAAATGCAGTTCAGCCAGGCAAAAGCAAGGCTACTCTTTCTTTAATGATGTCTTTCTTGCTTGTAAGGATGCAACAATGTATCTACAACCATGCCTAATTTCCACATACAAACTAAACATCTGTATACTCCAGAAGTGTGTTACTATTCTAATAAATATAAATAACATTGAAGGGTCTCAAGCTATTTTGTGTTAATTACAAAAACCTCAGCAAAAATGAGTTTTTCCGACTTTTTTGGATTCTCCAGAAAACTTCATTCACTCTTCAGTCATCTTTATCTAAAGAGATTTTGTCTCACCCAAATAAGTGTCAAAATAATATACTTTTATATCTAACAGTGGTATTTACAACATGACATTAAATAGTAGGATTCCAAAGTTATCTTTATTTGGAATAACTTATGTAAACATGGAACAGTCTCTAAAAATGAATAAAACATAAAAAATGAGTAACTATATGTTAAAATGTAAAGATTAAACTAAACACATTTATTTAAAAAGTGAATTTACATTTCCATCATATTTAAGATGCCCAACATTAGCAGCAGTACTCTTGGCCCCCAAATCAACTTTTACTTCCAACTCCAGACCCCATACTTTTTCAACAAAAGACAACAGAAGTCCTGTGGAGGTATTTAGATGAATTGGGACAAAAGAAAATCAGAATATACCTACAATATCCACAGATACCAGAAAGCAAGTTTTCAAGAACACAAGGGTGAGATAAAAAGCCAAAGAACCAACCTCAGAAAAAAAAGTTTTGGTCAAATTGTGTAGTTCAGCATAATAAACATAAAAATAATAATAATCAACCAGAACAAGGTGAATTTGTACACAGAAACTAATTTATGCTCAAAAGAGAAAAGTTAATGCACGGTATACAAAAATAACTGTACTACAAATGGCTTTTGTATTTAGAAAGTGTATTTCACTTTTTTATTGACTTTTATTAATGGAAGTGTTTCCACTGAAAATTTTGGTTTCTTTTTTAACATATACATATGTATACATAAAATAAATCTATTTGTATTCTGGTAAACATGCAGGAAATTTCTGAAATCAAGACAAACAATACCACAAGCAAGAAAGTACAACCAGTACTAGTGATCATACATGAGACAGATAGAGTGCCCAATAATTGATTAGCATTGGTGGACATATGCAATAACCATTTAAAAGGAGAATTCTAAAGCATATTCTAAAAATATAGACTGGTCAAAATATAGGAAAATTAAGTTTAATCTTGAATCTCCTATTAGACAAACTTCCACTACTCTATTCTAACTACTGATTATAATAAAATATTAGCAAAAAACAAATCTTCTGAATGCCAACAGATGAGATCACACATATAATGAACAAATATATATATATATATACAAAAAAATGTATATATATATATATATATAAATTTTATATATTTATATATAATTTATATATTTAAACATTTAAATATATATTTTATATATTTATATATATATAAATTTATATATATATATAATATACAGGTCATATATACATTAGTTATAGAAAATTTGAGGGACAGAATTTCTGTGAAATAAACCCAGTCTGCAAAACTTAAAATTTATATATGAATTACAGAAAGTAATAATAGAATGGAACTCAGTCTAAGATGAAATTGAGCAAAACTAGATCTTATATTTTTTACAAGCATCAACCACCCAACCAAAATCTACAACCTAGACTGCCCGGTGATCAAATTTTTTCTTTTAATTCCAGATCTGTTTAAGATTACTAAGCCCCAGGAAGTTTTCTAAAACCATTTTAGATACAGTTAATTATCTTGTCTCCTTCTTGTGTACCTCTCCCCACACCACTCCACGCCCCCCCCCTAAAAAAAATATATGGGATATACAAACAACAAACAGTGCAATGTGAATATTACATTAAATAATGAGATAATGTGTAGGCTCTTTAGTTCCCTTGCCCACACTCTTCTCCCACTGGGTCATGGGAGAATGTATGGCTTCAAATGTACTTTCTAAGATTACCAAGCTGCTTTCTTAAATTGTGTTATACTGTTCTGCAAAGAAAGTTGGAAGAAAAAGGAGGATAGTGATATAAACCAAGACACCACCTTCCTAGCATTCCTACATAGTAAGTTCTTTACAGAGGTCAAATTAGGTACAAAATGTATTAGCCATTTGACTGGGGCTGGAGAGATGCTCATAATTGCTCACTGCTCCTCAAAGTCACCTAAGGTTCAAAAATAAAATAATGCCCATTTCCTAAACCATATTTATTGACATAGATACTGTTAATATTGCTCAATTTAGTCACAGTCTTATTATTCATTATAACAAAAACACAGGTTTTAAAGAAATAGGTTTATTATAATATTCCTTAGCCATCCCATAAGATAGAATTATGGTTCTCAATGTTTTCTTGGTGAAAGAAAACACCATTAAGTACATAAAAGAAGAAAGCCATAATTCTGTGATCTCCTTGACTTAAAGCTTTTAATACATTCACTTCTGTGTACCAGCATAATCTTACTATATGCTTCAGCAGGCTTCATCCTACCACCTCTCCTGGTTCCTAAAGGACTTTAAAAACACTGCACCAAAAGTATCTATTAATCAAGGAGTATCTCCCATTAGCATCTGAAAGACAGAAACAGGGATTTCTTTTTACCTCTAGACCATATATGATAACTAGAAGAAAGTAAGTTAGCTTGATTTTTTTTTCTTTTAAAATTAAAAGTCAAACCTCTTTGCCCATGTGGTATTCTATTTCCAAGATTTTCACGTTCTATAACCCAGTACTTTCAACATAAATACAAACTTTTATGAAGTGAAGTCCTACATAGGAGTTCCTTCCCTGGTCTTACCAGTGATACTTCCCAGTATAATGTATGCAATAGCTAGATTTCAGGCATTATAACTGACAAAGGGGAGAAAATAAATGTTGTAAATCCTAGAGAATTCAGAGAAAGCCAATAACAAAATGTTACATTCTGAGAGGCAAACTCATCATTCACAAATAAAAAATCCAACCCCCAGCACACATCATCTGCTTTCTTATTTTCTCAACACTGGTTGTGACCTTGACATCAATAGTAGAACAAGACAACAAAACATTTTGCTGTCTCTTTTCCTCTCTCACACAGTAAAGTTAAAAATATCTCACTGCAGCTTATCTAAGACTCTTGGTGAAGCATTACACTCATTGAAAAACATGCATCATTTAAGCTGCAAAAATCAATCAAAAATTTTAAAAGGAATTAAGGAAAGAAGAAAGAGAAAAACAAAAGGTAGAAACGATTTAAAAGAAATAATAAAGTAAGAACTTGTATACTGATTGAGATCACACTAAACCCATAAATCAATTCAAGAAAAAGTGATGTTTTTTACAAAGATTGGGTTCTTCAAAATACCCGTGTACACTCTTTAATGTATTTCAATGATATTTAATAATTTTTCTTATGCTTTTCAGCAGAAGCCAGAGCCCAACACATGCTGGACAAGCACTCTACCATTGAACCACATCCTCAACACAATAATTTCCTTCTTGAAAGTGCTTGCATATTTTTTATTATATTTACTTCTGATCTTTAAAAGATGTGTGTGGGGGGGTAACCAGGATTGCCTAGACCTTTTTTTTATATTTTATTTTGAGTCAGGGTCTTGCTAAATTACTTAGGGCCTTGATAATTTGCTAATCAATATTAATTTGTGATCCTCCTGCCTCAATTAGGATTACAGGTGTGGACCACCATATTCAGCTTTTAAAAGATTTATGAGTTATAAATGGTATCTGAAAACAGAAAGGAATATATAAATATATACACATATGGATATATTTTAATATAAAACTAAAAAAATCATATGAATGAAATCATATAATAGCTACTCTCTAATGTCAGGTTTCTTTCTCACATTTTTTAAGGATTCCTTCACATTTTTACAAGTAGTAGGAAACTATTTTCCATAGACTGCTTAGAATCCCATCATGTAAATATGCCTGCATTGTTTAGCATTCTGTTCTTATAATATTTGTTTATTTCCAGGTTTTAATTACTATAAAAAATCCACTATAATTCTTTCTCATAGATCTATATTTAAGAGTGGAAAATGTTGAGTTTTAAAATAGCATATGTTGAAAGTCATTTAAACTCCACATTTCCCAAAATGCCACCATTATATATTCCTACCAGCAGTAGATGAGAGCTCTAGATGACCTGCATGTGCTGTCAGTCAGCCGTTTATACTGTGACAAAAATACCTGACAAAAACAACTTAGAGGAGGAAAAGTTTATTTTGAGCTCATAGCTTCAGAGGTTCTCTTTCTGTTAGGCCAAGTCCATCACTCTTGGCCTGATGTAAGGCAGAATATCATGGCAGAAGAGTGTG